CAGAAAAACACTCACTAACTCAGTCAGTCTTGTTCAGTCCGTCACTGCTGTGAGTAGCATGCATGGCTGGTATAATGAGGAATCTAATGAAGAGGGAGTTTTTAGGGAAAGCATCATTTACTCCCTCCCGTCGACTGCAACTGGCACAACAGTTTGTCCATCACACGCTGTGGAGGAGAGAACAGGCGGACATTTTTGTTATAATGCAATCCTTTTGCTCAAATTAAGGGTGGCAAACAGACGGCAAACATTTTCTTCACATGAAAACATAAAGATGCGACCTCATAAAGATCCACCAGTACTTTGCGATTTATCTTTGGGCTATTCAAAACGGCTTTTTTCTTCATTACAAATGAATGTTTCTTGATACTCTATTTCTCTTCAAGGGTAAGACTAGAGATGGAGAGAGTTGCAGGGCTTTGCACACAAGTTTCATACTTAGAACCTACAATTGCAACAACTAAAAATATAGAACACATTTGTTGATTCATTTCTGAATCAATTCTTTGTTATGTAAATTATCAGAGAAAAAAAGTCATCACAAACTCAAAATATGACAATTTTGGCCTTATTATCTCTGGTTACAAAGAGAAAAGTGACAACTGAGCACTGGAAATGAGACTTTTGTTGAAAAAAATATTCAAAATAGATCTATATATCGACTGGCCATATCAGGTCAGCATCCTCTCATATGACAGATGTTTAAAACCTTTATAAGCCTTCTGCCTGTATTAAGGAACTTAACGGCCCAATGGGATTCATGAATAATGCTTGACATTTCAATCAATCAATCAATCAATCAATCACTATTAGTATAGTGCCCATCCATAACAAATGTTATCTCGAGACGCTTTATAAAAGAGATGGTGGAAGACCTTACTCATTGTTATGTCACAAAAGAATAATGGGATAGAGGGAGATGGGATAAGACGCAGGTTTCTCCTTTGTATTTCCTGTTGTCTACACTTCCTTGCAGCTGAGGTGGAGGTTGTAGCAGGCCGTGCATGAATGAGGACGGCGGTGGTTGTGGAGACGACACAGACTGATGGTTGTGGCTGGCCGTCAGAGACGTCGGGTGGTATTTGAGCTACTGCATGAGACAGGGTGTAAGATACTCTCCTAAAAGTGTTGCCTAATGTGCAAGTGCCAGCTATACTATGTCTGTAACCTTGTCTTACTTCCAGTTTTTTAATGGGGTTGTAAATAACAAGACTTCCAGGTAAGCTTGTCTGGAAATAAGGGAGTCAATAAACCCATAGTGAGACCACCAGACCACTCTCCTTGGAGCGAGAAAGAGATGTGCTTGCTAAGTGTGATTGAAGAACATTATGTCAAGCTTTTATAGTGGGTGGACGTCCCTTCTCTAGGGAGAAGATATCAGGTCAGTCAGCTCATCACGTCTGGTGTTTTGTTATGAATCTCTGGAAGACAGCGGAGGGGGTCCTGTAGTGAGACCCTCTATAGGTTCTTGTTGACTTGAAACGACTTCTGCATAATTAAAACACATTACTTTCTCGGCACACTTTGCTGGCAATAAACAATCCATGAAGCTAAAATATTTTATGCAACAAGTATTGAATAAATAAAAGCTTTTTGATAGATTAATCTACACCTTCATCAAACCTGGTAAAAAAAATTGAGCTTATAACCACTGCTGTTTATTTCCTTTGGTGAAGTCTTTGTAAGACATTACTATTCCTTATACTGGACTCCTGCCACCTCAGCAGCATCAAAGACAGTTTATAGTTCAATTACAGCCGGGCAGGTTCAATCTCAGGGGGAATCGACTGTTACCAGTTGATAAGCTCTGCTGCTGCTAAATACACCTACTGAATAACACTCACCTGCTTTTGAGCATGGTGCTACTGCAAGCTCACCAGCCAACAATGAACAATAAGCGGTATGTCAAAGAGCAGAGAAGAAAAGACAAAGTAAAGCTTCCTTGATATGCATGTTGAAGCGCTATAAGTGGAGTGATGACGAGACTACGACAATCTATATTGCTACTCTCTCTTCGAGCTGGGGCTGTTGAATAAACATATATGTGCTACACTATGCTGTTTTTTGCTGAATTTCAAAGACACATGCCTGTACCAGAACGCTGCAGACACACCTAATGATGCATTTCCGTGACTGAAAGGCTGGCTCAAGCATTAACCAGCTTTTGCCGGCTCTGTACTGAGGTACTCTGCTTTCATGCTGGATGCTGGATTCAGCTGTAGAGGGGATAATTATCCCTGCTGGTGGCATGGATCTGCTTAAAGCAAAGTGAACCACGCAGGGAAAAGGGGAGGTAGAGCTATAATTTATGAGGAAAAAGCAACGAGCTGAAGTGTGTAACCAAGATGGATTAACTATGGCAACAATGGGGATTCTGCCACTTTACTTTATGAAAAGGTTTAATGTTGAATGAGTTGATATAATGCCGAGCGAAAAGCTGGTCATACCTCACTCACGTGGAACATTCCTGAACATCTGTGAAGATAAAGAAGCAGTCAGCTCCTCGTCCCCCATGTGGACCGATGGCTCTGCAGAGTGGAGGGAGTATCATGTTAACACCAGGCTAATAGGACATCTTGAAATGTCAACTATCTCATTCATATTTATCCCTTTATTATTTATACCTCCACATTTTCAGAACATACTGTTATGGATTGATATATTTGGCTAAATAATTTGGCCTTCCAGGTTCACAGGATTTTGTTCTGGAGATATCACCATTAGCTGAATTTATCTGATGTATTAAACATTTCTAATTTTATTCTGAGCATTTTAAGGACCTCTCATTGAAGTTCACTTTAAAAGTTTTTTGGCCTAATTTGAGTCTGTTTGAGAACTTAAAATCAAACGATTGGGTTTAGCAGGAAAAGCACAAGAAATTGGTGAAACTGGTGTTGGCTGCATTTTTTTTTTTTGGTTGGTGCAGATATGGCTATAAATTTGCTACTGTGACACTTGGTAGAATGCAACAATCCTAAATCTACTTAATTAATTAAATTAGTTACACCTGTGTTCTTATTTGCTTAAACTGACCAGCATTGTTCTTTAACTCCCAACTGAGTGCTTGAAAATCCTTCACAGAGCACACTGAAAAACACAGCGACAAATGAGTAGGACTATGTCTAAAATATTCCCACATCATTTAGCGTTAAGCACTAGTTTGCTACCTAACAGACCACACGAGAAGCCTACCGAGAGTCAACGCAAGAAATGTTTCAATGTTTTGGCTCTTCCTTTCCTCTTGTGTGACGCGAACAGTTCAGCGGTCCGTGTACGCCACCTGGCGTTGACTGTGCCGATTTCAGTGTGACAAAAGTGGATAAACCCACAGGATAAAAGATGAAAACATTTACACATACTCACATCGACAATATCCCTAAAGAGGCGCGTGGCCAAGTCTACGCACGCACTGATGATTGCTGCGAGGTAATATGCGTATTACCAGCCCCAAGAGCCTGATATATCGACACTTTACAAACGACAATTGTCAACAACAACAACAACAAAAAACACGACAAAAAGCGGCGTCCAAGTGTTCAGGGCGCCACTTTTACTTACACCTTTTGCCGTGTTTTTATTTGTTATTTTTGTGTGACTAAATGCGTTTGCAAAGTGACTGTATCGCAAGCCCTAATGCAGAGTGCGCGCGCAGAAAGGTATGTTCATCATCAATCACTCTCAGGCTCGTGCGTTACCATCCGCTGCTTTCGTGCGCGTGCACAGAGTCTATGGTTCACAGCCTCAGATTTGGAGATGTCGGTGCCGTCTCCGCGTGCATGGTGCAGGGTAGAAAAGTTTTTTTAGAGTTCCAAAAGGAATCAAAGTAAAGGGACAAAATGTTGAGGTAAGTAACTGGAAATGTATATTGTTTTGACAGGTTCGGGCGCAAAAAAAAAAACATAGTCTAACCGTACTTTTGGAAATCTTCTGTAGACATGTAGAGAAATGGATACTCTATCTTCTATAACGGGGACGTTGAGGCATAGTGTCTGCATTTGTTAAATACAGCGACATTGGAAAACTTTGCCTGTTGGTTTCTATCAATTGAATATATTAAGGCAACTGAGATGGCTTTGAATAATTATTCAAAGTTGTATTCATGTTGTTTTGTTTCTATAGCCTAAGGCAAAATGTAGGCAACAATGATTCAGAGAAAACTGGGACTTTCTAATGTTACCCATGATCCCTAAAACTCTTTTTAGGGATCATGGGTAACATTGATCAGTCTTTTTGTGTGAGACCTCACAGTTATAGTGGTGTATTTTAAATAAAAATGACAGATAATTTAGTCAAGAAAGTTCCAATTGCATTCAGAGCTTAAATTCAGGCACCAAGTGACTCTATGCAAGGGACTTTTTGTGTATTAGAGAGGCTACAAATCTTAAGCATTAAAGAAAATGTTGTTCTGTTGAGATTGACTACTCTTGTCTTTTACACAGAATAAAAGAAAATGGGTGAAATGTGTTTTTAAAAGCCAAAGAGCAAATCTGACTTTAAGGGAAAGTCTATGGTATTGATTGCTGACAGCCCTCAGGAATGTTGGAAATATTAAGTGGTCCCTGCTGTAACTAAAATGTCACCAGTCGCTCAGTTTTCATTGTTGTCTTTGTGTTCAATCAAGCTGCAGGCCGTTTCAGGCTATTCGGATACACCGGGCTGTGAAAAGAGAAGCAGTAAGAGAAGCTATGGGGCAGGAGAGAGACAGGAGAAAGCCCTGTATGATACAGCGAGTGTAACACAAATTAATCAGATTAAAGAATTACAGCATTCCACGGCAGACTCTCACACAATCATCCAGGCAAAAATGCAGGTTTACACAATGTTGTAATGTTGAAAGTTCAGCTGCTGCTGGGGTCATTTGTGCTTGTAACTACAAATGAAACTATATCTATGCTTTATAATGACAAATAAATTAAAGTGTACCGAAAGAGCCAATGACAGCTTTCCTCCAGAGAGATTACACACACACACACACACACACACACACACATAAGATCAGGTGGGGCAGGAAAGGTTAATGAGTGACCAGACCAGGCTGAAGGGCAGTTTTTACTTTACACTTTCAGAAGAAGGCTAAATGTGGGAAAATGGTGCCTGAATTAAACTTCAGATAATCCAAGAATACTTCAGCTGGGACTGAAAACCCCTGAAGGTAGGAGGTCAAGTTCATGAGAATTCTGTGCTTGGGTTTCGTTGAGGTTTCAACTGTGAGATTGGATATATTGTGAGTACAAACAGGATTTCTTTCACACAGTTTTCATTTTAAGTAGTAGTTGTTGAACTTCAATAGAATAAATATTATGTTGGTCATTGGTGGTTGTGGTCTGCCTTAAATTAGCAAAGAGTCAGTTTACAGCAATTTGTCTGTTGTCATTTCGCTGTAAGAAGCGCAAACAAAGGGCAAGTGCACTTCAGCTTTTTATGTCCTCAGATAAAGGTCATTTTTATGTGCATGTCGTAGGTGTGCCACATTTAGAAACAGACAGAACCGCTGCTGATTGTGTTCTCCTCTCCACAGTTAAGAGGGGTATTGTAGTCCAACAAAAATGGAAATGTTCTTGCAGAATTGTCCTGAAGTGTGGCGATAATGTCCCTATTCTCCTGTTTGATGTCCCACAATCACACTGAAACCACCAATTATTTTCTCCTCAACAGATGAGCACCCATCCATAACTTAGCTCGGACAATCGGCCGACCCTGATTGGACTGTTTCCCCCTCCAAACGAGTTGCTGCCCGCAGCTGCTGTGGGAGCCCGAGTCGCCATGGAGACGGTGGTGATCGTGGCCATAGGGGTGTTGGCCACCATTTTCCTGGCCTCCTTCGCTGCCCTGGTGGTGGTTTGCAGACATCGCTACTGCCACCCTCATGACCTGCTGCACCACTTTGACTCCAAGTCAGTAAATCATCAAAACAAAGTCTGTTAACCTGGATCAGTCTATATAAAAAATAATCTTCGTTTTAGGTTTTTTTAAGGATTATTTGGGACTTTTTATGACTTTATTTAGGTACAGGACAGTGAATAGAGTCAGAAATTGGAATGAGACAGAGTGGGGAATGACATTCAGGAAAGGACTCACACCTGGGCCACCCGCTGTGAAGACCTTAGTCTCTGAGCACACCAACCACTATGCCACCGGCGCCCCTAATCTTAGTCTTAGGTTTCTCTACACTGTCTACATATGTACTGTGTGATTCTTTTATAATATGGTTAAAATATTTTACCTGTAGAAGAAACTTTGAAACTATTAGGGAGCATGTTAGGTGTTTTTTAAACAACTACAATAGAAAAGATGCTGGAAAGCAAGGCAGAGAAAGCTGCAACAAAGGTCCTCAGATCAGAGATGTTGTGCTTCATGGTCAGCATCTTAATCCTTAAGCCACATTGGCACCTCATTTTTTATGCATTTCAATCGCAGTTGGACCAAATTCACCTCAACTATTAAGAATTTTCTTCTTACTGCGTCTTTACCCTATGACGTGGTTTACACTATGATGTAGTTCACACTCAACGCTTTATGTGTATCTAAAGAAGGATGCTTTCTAGGTTTGAATTTACTTTCCATTTGGATTCTGGTTAATGATCCTTATTTGTCTGTATTTCAGGCCCACAGTGGATCTGATCGGAGCCATGGAGACCCAGAGTGAGCTGTCAGAGCTGGAGCTGGACGATGTGGTCATCACAAACCCCCACATCGAGGCCATCTTGGAGAACGAGGACTGGATAGAGGACGCCTCGTATGTCTAACTGTTTTTTTTTGTTGCATGATATAAGATTTGAATCATATTAATAACTATACATAGTTACTGTCATGCATCAAATTAAATTAAGTGATTTTGTTTTTTGTCCTAAACAGTGGATTGGTCTCTCACTGCATTTCTATCTTAAAGGTAAGAGGATTTCATCATTTGAGTCTATATATTTATTTACACCAATCAGCAGAAACTATAAAATATCTTTCTTCCACGAACAGATCTGCCACACTTTGACCGAAAAGCTGGTTGCCATGACCATGGGCTCAGGGGCAAAGGTCAAAGCACCAGCCAGCCTGAGTGACATCATCACTGTAGCCAAACGGATCAGCCCGAGGTAACACACTGTTTGATTCAGAAAAAATGAACATGATCACATTACTGACTCCAGCTCACCTACCTCCTCATATCCTCATTGCCTCTTCCCTCAGGGTGGACGACGTTGTCAGATCTATGTACCCTCCTCTGGACCCAATCCTCCTCGACGCCAGGTAATCTCATTTATTGCCTCTTTTTGTATGACTGTGATGACTTAATGCAAGGACCTACTAATGTGATTGATTTGGCATCTGAGCTGGAAAGAGCACACACTTGACTTATCCTTAATGTAATAACATTGAAACAGAGAGAGGAAGAGACAGCAAGACAAATGCTAAAGTGTGGCAGCAAATGTATGCTTTCAGGAAACATTATAACTCAAAATTATTTGTTTTTATCACGGCTTGAATTGAAATTGAAGTTCTTAGTTGTAAAAAGCCCTTTCTTTCAAAATAAAAGCTTTTCATCCTGCATAAAACTGAGAAATAAAATCATTCTCTCCTTTTCCTTCTCCTCAGGGCCACAGCTCTCCTCCTTTCAGTCAGCCACCTGGTGCTTGTCACCCGCAACGCCTGTCACATGTCGGGCAGTATGGACTGGATCGACCAGTCGCTCCACGCTGCTGAAGATCACATGGTGGTTTTGCGTGAGGCGGCCCTGGCCTCCGAACCGGAACGTTACATACCTGGAATCGACGCACAGAAAGAGCAGGCCATCTAGTACCAACACAGATATTAATCATAAACACAGAAAGGCAGCAGTAGGCCATGAAAATTATGCCCCGCCTCTCTTCACAATGAACGGGCACATATTCTGCAAGATGGTGTTGAAAAAGCATGTTTCCCCTAACTCAATATCAAGCAAATAGGCTGTGCAGAAGGACGTAGTGACATTTAACACACAAAAATCGTCCTAGATTTTTTTTTTTTTTTTTAAATCATATTTTCATGAAAAGTGCTTTCTGGCTTTCACACAGTTGCATACAGGTGGTGTATTTTGTATGTAACCTTCCAGCAGATCTTTAAATAGTTGGTCTGTTGAAGGTGTAAGCTGCCTGCAAGTGAGGGGCTTTTAAAAATTTCTTCCAAAGTGCGCCATCGCCCAGCGGTGGGCCTAAATCCAATCTCGCCGTCACATGGAGGCTTAGTCAGCTAATCCATTCTGAGAAAGAAAAAAAAAAACCCAGTTAGCCAGTGAACCCAAAAGGGCTCCATCTCAGTGGACTAATAGAAGACCAACCTGACATAATTGCAGTCTGTGTTATCAGCATGACCTGTAGATGCTCAAAAATCAATCCCACAGTTACTCTTAGTTAAGAATCACCGGTCTGGGAGTTTTTCAGACACAGATAGCATTCTTTTATACCACATCAGCAGCCGAGTAAATGTTTTTCCAGTTGAGTTATGCCCTTATGTGCCATTGCTGCATATTATGTTTAATTGCTCGTATCAAAAGAGACACTAGTATCTCCTCCACTGAAATATCACAAACTCCACCAGATCAATTGATGCAAGACTCTGGTACACCACTGGTCCTAAGTGGATGTTTCCTATTGACTTCAGTGATCACTTTACTGTTCTTCAGGCACCATGAGCAGGATCATATTCATCAAGACTTCAGATTGTCCTGGAATCTGGTAGTGATAATCAAACAAACAGTAATCACGTAGTAGTACGTTAGGTTTTAGAAATCCAATACTTCTGTTTGTACTAGGACATTCATAAGCCTGAACTTTGCATTTATGGATTATTAGCTTGTGATAGCATGCTAAAACATGAACATTTCAATGGTAAACTTTGTTTCTGCTAAACATCTGCATGTTAGCTTTGTCACTGAGAGCCTCGTGGAGAATTTGATACAGCTCCTAAGGTATTACTTTATTTATTCATATGAAGCTGCTCAGTGGCACTTCATGGCAATAAAAAGTCTGAAGACATCATTACCTGGATCCTCCGGATAGAGACCTCATCGTTTGGTCGAGACAATCCTACTAGTTCTTTTATTTTTTTCCTGCGGGTTTATTGTGTTGAGGAATGAGACTCTGCATTTAACAGAACTTTAAAAATGTCATTTGAATTTAAGGACTATTTAAGCATTTTACCTTAGACTGTATGAAAGAATGGATGAAGTCTGAGTGAAGTCACCCATTGGTGTCTGAAGGGCTGTTTTGGAAGCCTATCCATGGTGGGGGCCCATGTTAAACATTCTGACATCCTAACAGGAATAGGGCTGGAACTGAGGCGGGCCTTAAGCCTCCTTACAAACCGCTTAAACACAGCCACTTGCAGCCAGATCGGTCACACCCTTAACTATGCATCACTCGTATCTTTCAGAAATTCAAAAGGGCATAGTGTCAATAAAGACATTAACCTGTAAGACTAAATTCATTTTTTTAATCAGGCTATTTACGTGTTGATTTCTGCTTTCAAATTGGGCATTTGAACATGGGGCTTTTATGGGCCATTCCAGGTCTTTTGGAGCCAGCTTACAGCAGAAACTCAAGGAATTGCAGATTTTTTTTGCACTTCTGCATTGGCTTCATTTTCAACACAGGAGCTTGCCTCCTGGTTTTTACGAGCCAGTGGTCCAACCTCAAAATTGTCACAATCTCAAATTGGCTTCAAAGCCTAATGGACTTCTGAATTCTCCGGTGAGCATGTTAGCATGCTGATGTTAGCATTAGGGTCAAAGCACAGCTGTGCTTTCAGCCACATGGAACTGCTTACATGTTAGTATGACGAGTCAACATTTTTCAGATTTGCAAAACATCTGTTCTTTAGTTCTACAAGTGCGACATTTTCTAAATGAGTTCAGCATCAGTTTCTGACCACCAGGGGAGGAACAACATCATACACAAATATCAAAGTATACTGAGACTTTTTAATCGTATCACCATTAACTGTTTAAAGTGTTACTGTAAAGTCCTGTTGTTTATTCTGTCTGGAATATTGAGCTTTTACACACTATGAAGAAATATAGTATGTCTGTAGGCCCCATGTAACTATATTATTTTATGAGGGGTTTTCAAAAGTGTGTTGATGGAGGTGAGGCAGAATTAGTGTGTCATTTTTGGCCAGAGGGATGTTATTGGAGCATGTGTACCTGCTCTTCCATGCATAGCTAATAGTGAATCCCAGAAGGGTCTTAATAAGGCATTACCCAGAGCCTCAATAAGCACATGGGCTTAGTCTTCAATTCACATGGCACAAAGCTTTGGGTACACAAGGCTGGAAAATTAACACATTAGCACAGCCAGTGACACAATGCTGTGAGTTATTGAGTCAAACACACTCAATTTAAGACAATCAGCAGGGGGACCCAAAACCTCTGTAAGCACGCCGAGATGTTTGATGAAGAGGTATTGATCGAGGAGGAAACATTTAGACACTGGTTAGCCTTTCATTTTATTTTTATTTTGTTTACATTGTTTATTAGCATTGATCTTTTTTTTTTTTTTTGCAAGCACTCCTTTGTTTTTTCTCGTCCTTATCCCACAGTTTGTTACTGATTTCCTTCCCTCACTCCCACACATCTTTCTCTTTATAATTCTCATTGATTTGTACAGATAAAATGAAGTTTCATAGGAAAAAATGTATTCTGTTGTTGCTCTGAACAAAAGCTACGGAGAAATCCACATCTGATAAGAGGTCCACACACTCATACTAATTTGACATAAATAAAAGTGAATTCCTTTCCTCTTTGTATGACGTTGCGAGGAGTCATTTGTGCAGCAACATGGTACTAATAGCCCCCTGCCATCTTCCTTTCTCTGCGGAGGAGGAGTCCCTGTTGCACGAGTGTCAGTCAGCCTCCGCTTGTCTAGCACAGCAGCCCTTTGCTTTTCTTCAGATCAATTTGCTTCCAGCTCGGCAGGGAGAAGTATTCATCTCTCTTCATTTCCAAAATAGTCTGAAACATAATCGTGGTGATTTATTTATGAAGGGAAAAAAAAGTAAAAAATCAATTCATATTGAATGAAAAGTGAATTCTTAACTTAGACTGCACCTTCTCTCAGGATTCATCATCTTATTATAAACATTATTTATTCAATACAAATAACGGTGAACACTGCAGGCTGCTGGTTGAAACACGTCACTACATGCTGCTCCTCCGTCAGGTTACCTGGAAGTCTTGATCAGACAGGTAGACCTCCAGGTGCTGGGGATCCACTCCATCAGGTAAGGGGCTCCGCAGCAGCTCATCCAGGGGGTACTGGGTCTTCATGAGCTGGGCCAGGGCGTCCTGCACCAAGGTCAGCTTCACCGGCTTTGTGTCACCCTGACAGCAACACACAGGGAAAGAAATGGAGATGTGAATATTACTGTAAACAAGAGACTGAAGTTATGATTGGACAAAAGAATAGAAATATTCCTGTTTTGTGAATTTGCTTGAAGAATTTGTTTCCACTCTGTGACTCACTCACCATGAATTATCAGTTACCCACACTTTTATGATGCAAAAAATAAATACTATTGGTAATGATTACGCTTTTTTTACCTGGCGCCTCTTCCCCTTTAAAGTCTGATTGTTAATGATCAATTTTTTTATAGCTGTAAAGATTTTTATTATGTATATGGTGGGTATACTGTATATTATTAAATAAATAGCGGACCGCTTTTGTGTCAGGCAATTCCAAACTTTTGAAAGGTAGTGGACTTTACCGTAGTAGAAAAAGGCACAAACCTCGACGCTGTCAATATCAAACAAAAATCAGAGAAAATAAATGATGTTGTTATATAGCTAGAGATATTTGGAGAAAAATAATTCAGGTCCACAGTGTCCTGGGTGGAGAGATCTATTGTTCATTTTTGTGATATTGAAATTCATTCAAAGGGGAGATCAGGGACAGGATGAATGCTGGAGGCTCTGAGGTAAGAGAATGCACACCTTTTGCTTTTTTTTTTTCCTCCCCTTTTCATATTTTTTTTGACATTATAAAAGATTGAAAGTTTAGGGATAGAAAATGATTTATTTTCACATTGTAGAAGGTCACAACCTGAGACAAACTCATGGCTCAGGATCAATATCTCTTTAAAATGCTTTACGCTGCTAGCAACAAAGATGTGACAAAAAAGCGGCTGCTCATAAAAGAGTTTATAATATGATCAACATGTCAAATATTTATACAGTGGACAAGACATATATATATATATATTAAAAATGTAATACGTCAGACTTGTTATTAAAATACCCTATTCCATTATAGGGTTTGACTTTGCCCATCTTTACCTCTTATTTTGCTACAAACTGTAAAAAGAGGTTTTTTTTTTAAAATATTTGTCCAACCATCTTTAATGAAGCCGGTGATCTCAGTCTACAGCTGCCACAGGAAAGAGTGACACATCATGTCCAAACAAGTTTCTAAGTCTGGCTGTGATTCTAAATGAAAACTGATCTTCTGATCTGGTGTTCATACCCATGTGTGGCTCCTCTCCCAACGGGGGAACACATTGGTGAAGGTGAGAGGTTCTGCCCCCTCGAGGATGAGGTAGGCCTGGGGAGGGCGTCTTGGGTTCATCTCTTGAATAACAAGAGAAAAATAATCAATCACTACTGTACTAACCGTTTACATCCTGAGCCCTTCTTTTGAACTGTGTCCTCTTACCTTCTGCAGTACTGCAGAGCCGTCTGCATAGCACACCTCCGCTCGTTGTGCCAGCAGCTCCAGGCTGAGGCAGAGCTCTCCGTCTGCTCGGGCTGACCCTCTGCCACAGGTAGACCTCTAGACGGTTGTCGAGAAGAAACAAGGCTGGTGGAAGGACAAGAAATATAGATAAATTGGACAATTAGATTCATAAGTATGGGTTTTTGTGGCAAGAAAAAGGGGACACAGCAGAGAAAAGGTTAGACAGACAGATAGAAGAAGCCAAGACAATATAAAGGAAACAAACACAGTCACAGCAGCATTCAGACAATTACATTTTTTTTAAAAATTGTTCAGCATTCAAAAGCCTGACAGCTAAAGCGATAAAAGAATGAGTGTATGTTGGTTCTCCTTGGAGGGTCAAGAAAGCGCCATCCAGAGGGCATTAAAAAAAAAGACAGATGAAAGAATGTTCCAGGTTGATTCATGTTTATATGTTTTATCATCTTCATATTTTTTTAAAAGATGTTCTTTAGGAGTTTAATCACGGATGACTTGAGAAAATCCTTATTTGTCTGATGTGAATAGTTGGCTGTTCTCTCACCTGGCTGTGGGACAGCGTACAGGCTCTCCTGGGTGAAGGGCATCGGCGTCACGAGCCCTGGCAGCCGCGTCGGGCTCTGCAGTTCTTCAGCCTGTAAACTCCCTAAGGTGGCGCTCAGGTGGAAGAGGCGAGGTGTGAAGTTATACTTTCCTGGATCTGAAACAAAAGAAGACGTGCAATAAGATGAACTGACTGATTTTTTTCTGTGCAGAGAGAATTTAAAAAAAGCTAAAGCGCTCTTCTACCTTGCAGCATGCAGTCGTATGCTTTTCTGTCCATCTGTCCCAGCGCTGTCCAGAAGTCTGCAGGCTCTGAACCTTCATCCACCACCTGCACCTTCACGGGGCTGCTTTTGCTCAGACCCAGCTCGGGTGGACACCTGATGAAAAAATATTTAATGTTAAAATTGTCTCTGACGTCTACATTTTCTTTTTACTCATTGTATGTGTCTTACATTTCAGTTAGACGCTCCACCACTCGCTTGCCAACCTCTCTTGTGCTGACATGAGCTTTACAGCCATTCCAGAGATACAGCACCCCCTGCTGGCTGCTGAGCAGCACAACAGAGCCCCTCGATCTTAGACCTGAACAACAGCAGTCCACTTCTAACAGAGAGCCCTCCTCTGGGACCTCTCCACGCACACAGAACAAACGCCACTCTGCAACAAGAGACAGAGGAGAATACTTTAAACAAATAACAAACAAACAAAACAAAAAAACAGGAAGGGAAAATACTTGTAGACTTCCTCACCTGTTTTAGTGGACACCTCCTCTCTCTTGTTTTTGTGAATGACCAGGCCTCCCTGGAAAAGCTGCAGGAAACAGGGAGGTTCTTTTCCTTGAGGAACCACCACCTTTGAAAAACAACACAGCAAACACATGACTTAACTAGAAAAAGCACTATGATGTAACTGATAACAGCAAGAGTATTAATAAAAAGCTCTGTTAGAAGATTTGTGACATTTGCAGTGAAAATCATGATGTTTTGTCGAGATTCCTGTTTTTCATTGTCTTTTCTCTGTTTCCTTACAGAGTTCCAATTCTCTTCAATTTCTCCTGACTTATTATTCCTTTTTCGCACCTTCTTGGTTGTCACACGTATAAGCCTTAAAACTCAAACATCTACCCTCTCCAACTGAATGGAAAAAAACAGCTGCAACCAAGTGTTTTAATCAGTTAGGCTGCATTTCTGGTGTCGCAGTTCTACCCATTAAAGCAGTAAAACGGGGCGCCACTGGCCGAGTGGTTAGTTGGGTGCCCCAAATCCAAATCAAATCCGACCTGTGGATTCTTTCCCTGCATGTGATTCCCCACTCTCTCTCTCTCTCTCTCTCTCCCGGATTTCAGACTCTATCCACTGTCCTATGAACTGGTGCCGCTTTCTTTAACTCATAATTTAGTTATTGAATGTCCAAACAAAGAAATCCCAAAAGTTCTAATTTGGACCATAAAGCCATTAAAAACATACTTAATATCTTTAATTATGATTCCTGTCAGGATTTTTTTTTTTGTTGCATCAGTCAAACTTTTTAACCGCTAACATAGACTGAGCATATTCTGTGAGTCACGAGATAAACTAAGTCGATAAAGTGGTGCTATTAAAGTATAGTGGATGTGTCATTCGAGTTCCTTTATTTCACATGCAGTGTTATTACTATGGGTTGTAGTTCAGCATACATGTTTATCGTCATCAAAGGTTTTACCTGTGACTCTTCCTGGTTATTCATCCCAATGGACAGGAAAGCTGCTGTGTCCCGCCCACTTACACTTGAGTGACAGCCCCTCCAGAGGAACAAGGCAGTGTTTTCTTTCTCCCCTCTGCCACACTCATCAGAACCGTTCATCTCCGCTGCAACCGAGGGAAAAACACGAGTGAAGATGAATAGTTCAACATCTTCATTCTTGGGAAATAAATTTATCGTCAAATCTCTTTTCAATGTGGCTGACCGACAGTGTTGATGCTGTACGTCCAGCGGATGACGTAAGAGTCTCCTTCATGAAGCTGTCCCGTGCTCTCTATGGGGGTTTCACTGTCATCAAACTCCTGGACATGCCAGCTGTCCACAGCAATGGTATTCAGCTCCATCCGAAGTCCCTCCTCCAGCGTGATGACCCCGTGCCCCCTCTGGACGTCGACGCCGGCCAACACGTTATGGACCAAGCTATCTTCTGTTAGTGACTCACCTGACACCAGAGCTTTGGCGTCGCAGGCGCTCAGAAGGTCTGACGATGGGTCAGATGGAACTGTGACAGGCTGTTAAGATAAATATAGTCATGATATGATAAATTACATTTTCCTTGGTGGTATTTTGTGAGCTGCAGTGTGGATTTTTAATGTCGCTCTATGAGATAAACCTGCATCTCCTTGTTCACAGGAGCAGCCTCCTCTCTGCCTGTGCTCTTCAAAGTCCAGTCCAGGAACTTTTCCCTGAACAGAGCCGTCTCGTTGTGCTCTGACACGCAGCCGAATAAGGCCCAGCTGGGACGCCCCTCCCCACTCCTGTGAACAGAGTTAGAGGTAAGAGGACACATATCACTACTAAAAAGTTTAAAAAAATAAAGTTCCTGACACAAATCATTTAGTCCATCCAGTAGCAGGGAATCCATTTTCCAGAGTACGTGCAGTAAAATACCATTTGAATTATTATCCAAAGTGGAAAGGATGCTAACAAGTTTGTATTACTGCTCAGTAAACAATGCTCAGCATATATGTGAAAAAGCTAATCAAATTAGCATTCCTATTCCATGAACTTAGCTGCACTTTTAAAATCAATACTTGACATATTTTGTATCATAAAAAAATAAAACATGAATAATATTAAAGTTTTATGAATTGTACTTCTATTGACTTGCTTTCATGCAACCAATCAGAGAGACAAATTCTTTGTATTTGCAAACCTACTTAGTTAAAGACTCAGTTTGGATTGTGATGGTGGTACCCTTCAATATATGATAAAAAGTATGTGAACATTTCTGTTTCGTTCGTATTTGGAGTTGGATTTTCATGGACGGGTCGGGGTTCATTAACTCAGTGGAAATCTTAATGCTACAGAAAACAATACTTCAGACAATAGCGTTCCTTTAACCTTTTCCAAGAGCTTGGTGAGAACTCTTTTCTGTTCTGTGCTCTTCTTGTGAACGGATGTTTGCACTGTGTGCTGCAAAAATCTATGTCCACTTGCTGAATGTTGTCTTTTGCCAGCTGCAGCCTGTCAGCATGTGGAGCTTGGATTTCACTGCATGTCTTGTGAACACAATATTGTATGCCTGGGTTCCTCCATGTGCTTTATGGAGTTTCAAGGCATTTGCATTGGTTTTATAGTGTGTAATAAATATCTTCTGCTGACTGTGAAGTTCTGCTACATGCACAGTAAACTCATAATGTATGCTGTGTTTTCAGTGTGGAATTACATCCTCTGCTTTTATTATGTGCACCAAAATGTCTCTATGTATTCCAACGTTACAGTAATGAGTCCTGATGTGCTGTTATTTTTCTTTGTGAAGTATGGACTTAAAAGCTTCTCTCTGCTGAGAGAACTCACAGCGGTATGCCAGGGTTACTTTGTGTGGGATCCAGTGGATTGACTCGACAGTTGCTGTAGTCATAAGCTCCGACCCACACTTGGTGAGTCAGATGGAGAGCAACGTTCATCCTGCTGGGGGAAACATTCTGCCCAGTCCACAGGTACACCTCGCTGCCGAAATCAAACACCAGGGCCTGCACACACACACACACAAACATAGAATTAGAAACAACATATTAGCCAAAACCAGAACGACAAAGCAACAGTTGAATCCAGAAGAGTTGTCAGACCTCCTCGGAGCCCAGCAGGGACACACTTGGGACGGAAGCCCAGGCCTGTTCATGGGGCACCAGTCTGTTTTCCACCAGCCTGTACACACAGTTAGAATCTGCTATGCCTCTTTCGAAGAGCTCGTCCTCCTCTTCTGCACTGGCTCCTGTGGGGAAAGAAGATGCTACATTTGATGTATAAATCGGGTTTTGTTGTGTAATCTGTATGTTTTTGTATAAAGATCAGATGAATGAGACAGTAGTCCTGAAAGTGGACACATAAGACCTCTAACCTCTGTAATGTGTTCGTCCTCCAAGAAGGCTCCAGAAGTCTGCAGCCAGGCTGCTGTCACAGTTCAGCCCCTCCTCCAGGTGGATGATCTGAGAGGCCTGACAGCCGAGATCTCCCTGACTCTGGATGAGCGATGCCAGCTCAGAGCCCTGAAAGGTTAAAAAAAGAAAAAAGAAGAAGAAGGTACCTAATACAGCTGCATTCAACCACAAAAATGTAAACTATCCATCTGACAACTAGGTAAAGAAATTCAGGAGACCATTTTTAGAAATGTTTTGAGAAAGTATTTATAGATCTTTGCTGAGTGACTTAACAGGCTGATTGTTTATTAACATGTTTTTAATTATAAGTAGCTGTATCTCTGAACATTTTGTCAGGACCATGGTGCTATCAAACTGAAGTTTCTTATTTTAGCCCTGCATGGCTCCTGACAGAATTTTTGGGACCATTGCTTATCGTGTTTATGTTGTTATTGGAGCATATTTAAATATTTTGTTACAATATATTTTTTTTGAGTTTACTTTGTTGCATTTGTCACACACTCACACACAGACACACACACACACTCTGCATCGCCAATAAACACAAGCTAACTAGCAGCTACATCATATTCCCTGTCAACTTGAGGTGCGCAGTTATTTCTGCCACAGGCCTACTTCTTTCATGATAGGACGGGGGGGGGGGAGAAAAAGGGCATGTCTGCTGTTGCCATGGTGATTTCAGACGCTGTCTGTCAGTTTGTGCAGGTAAAACAGGGGAAGGTCCGAGAGTCAGGGAATCAGCTCGTGGCTCGGCTCACACTGCGAGATTGGGTGCAGCCATACGAGGAAAAGAAATGTATCCGACTGATTGGGAGCAGCTGTTTGAATAGTGATCTACCTTCATGCATCAGTGTACACTGCACGACTGACGCCGGGTAATTGGGCTGAAATTCACATTTCAAAATGAGTCATGCATCTCAAAAATAGACCTGAAATTGTACGGTTTATGCCGGGCTTAAGAGGGTTCTGTTGAGCCTAAAAATGGGGTTTAAAGTGTCCTATTTCATTAATTTCTTCTTGGACACTTCATGCAAAATGTCTTACACTCTGTAAACATATTATACCGTGGCACCCTGTAATTTTATGCAAACAACCTGCTATCCTGGAAAAGGAAGCATTAAATGTTATACTGTTGTTCTCTGTGGTACCTTGGCTTTCTCTTGTTCATTGGCAAACTCTCCACTCCACAGGATGCAATGCTCTGGAGAGACCAGCAGGAAGCAGTCTCCACTGTTCAGTGAATGAACCAAGGGCTCCACCAGACGCACCTGGACATGCCGCCTACCTGTCCCCACAGGCACCAGTTAAAAAAAAGACCTGGACACAAAGACATCTTTAAATAAACCGCATAAACCAAATTCTTTTCAGACCTTTCGTGTGGATGAGCATCAGGCTGCTGAAGGGAGGATAAGACTTTGTGGTCAAAGCATCCGAGGAAGAGAGGTCTTCTGGTCTGTCCAGATGTGAATCGGAGTTTTTGGACCCTGTGTGGAATTAAAACACAAGAAAAATACGCTAAACTAGAAAGACGAAGTAAAAGAAAGGACATAAGAAACATGCAAAAGAGTCCCACTGACTGTTCTCTGCCTCCATCCTCTCCTCAGAAGCGTTGTTGGCTCTCTCTCCCATGTAGTCCTGCCTGACGTCCTCCCTGGCAGCCAGAGCCCTCAGAGGATTTCTGGAGCCCTGGGTCCGACGCGATGGACGCACCGAACGCCGGTGCTCCGCTACAGTGGAAGTCAGCCTGCGAAGAAGATATACAACACACGCTTTAACAGAGTCAGCACTGATGGAGGAGTTACAAGATATATGCTCAACATCAAAGTCCTGCACTTTAAATGATACTCAAGTAAAAGTACGAGTACGATTGGTCAATTGTACCTGAAACATTTAAAGTTATATAAAGTGTCTGCTCACTTCAAGAAAAGAATTGCTGCATGCAAAACTTGATAGCACAGGTCTAGTAATGCTAGAAGCTGTGGTAATAACAGGCTCACATAGGTGTGTTGGTCTGGCACAGGACGTCCAGGTCCTGCTCGCTCTCTGGAGCAGCGATGCCATCACATGGCGGGAGGGCGCAGGCAGATGGAGGTGACTGATCCCCGTAAAAACCTGCATCAAAAGCATTTGATTCGTCCACAGGGGTGTCCTCCTTCACATGGGGTGGAGACACCGGGGATTGTGAGGTCTGCGGATCTGATAAGAGGGGCAGGAAAAATAACAGAAACTCAAAATAATGCAGACTTAAACACCTTATATTCACGAGTCTTCACAGGATTTTACCTTCAAACTGCTCCAATGTCTGCATGGAGGTTTCTGTTAGGCGAACAGACGAGACAGTTTAGACAGAAGCAAAAATGAAATATTTTTAATCATGTAGAGAAAGTCCTGGTCTAACCTCCATCTGTGCATAATGAAGCGTCTATGGAAGGTCTCGTGTCGTTACAGGCGTTCACTTCTTTGGGTTTGTCCACCTGGAGCTCATCCTCAGCTCCGTTAGCCTGTACAGAAGCAGATGTGTTAAAGTGAGATACAGATGAGCTCTTTCGTAGTTATATATCAAAACCATGAAAAGATTTAAAAGTAATACCAGCCTCTGTCACCTTCTGTCTCCACTGGGGCTGGATCGGGTTCTTGGTAGGAGAGGCGACTTCCTGTGCCTCGAAGGAAAGACTCGTCTTGAGAGGGAAATAAAAAAGGAGACAAACATGGTTGGTGAGATAACGTGTGAATACTTCAGAATGGGGTGTGAAGGCAGGCGTGCATGACCAAGGGAAAACATAGAATAAAGGTTTTACAAGTGGGATTCATTTGGAAACGACAAACAGGGTCACAAGCACTGTGCTAAAATTGTCAGAGATAAGTTTACGAGACCATTTCAGTTTGGAAAGTGCAAAATGATTTAGGGATTGGGTTTACCATTTAAAATGCATGCTTCAATTGAAGTTTGAACAGTACATTCTGATGAGTCACTGGACGATATCATAGCATGACAATGTATGTCTGATTTTAACATGTCGTCTTGCAGAAACAATGATTGCACTTTTGATTTTGGGACAAAAACATAGCTGAGAATATAAAATGTTTTGAAAGGTTGCCTGAATGCATTATTAAAAGGAGGATTTTGGTTGCTTTGTCACCCCCTGATACCAACTAAAATGCTTTATTGGTACACCAATCTGATCTGATACTTTAACCAATTAGCCCCTCAGAAAGTCAACAGGTTCAGTTTAACAACGGCATGGTGTTAGTGGAGTTTGTAATGTAAGTCAAAGCTAGCATTAGGTCAGCAATCAGTGTTTTTCAACCAATATTATGTATATTATTATCAGTACTCGTATCAAAGAAGGGAACTTGAGTGTTTTAGCCACATTAAACAAGACCAAGACATATCCGAGACCAGAATGCTCCGAGACTGAGACAAGACCAAAACAGGGCAAGGTTGAGACAAGACCAAGACTGTAAATAACCATGAAAAATCATCAATTTGTATGCCGGGGGGGCGTGTCACTCACTTAGACCGTCATACTGGGAAGGTTGTGGCCGTAACCAGGGATAAAAATCAAACCACGAGTGAATTAAAGTTATTTGTTGTTTTAGAAAGAGGCATTTTCCTTGGGAAAAACAGACTCTCACTGGTGGTCTTGATTTAAAATCTGGAGCCTGCACAGTCTGAGAGAAAGTGGTCTCGAGGCCGGTCTCGAGACCAAGACCGATTTCATGTACTACACTAGGATACCCAATATCAGCTTAATCTTAAAATCCCTAATGAAAGGTGGGTACTGACATTTTCAAGTTTTAAAAAAAGGTCAATGAAAGACATTCAGAAACCACAAGAACCAAAGACTGGCACGAGTAAGAGAAACACTATTATCAGACGTAAGATTGGGACTGTGAGCTGTGATGGATCACTTGTTAGTGAATCTTCACACGTCATCTGTAAAAACTTTTCACTGCATACAAATCACTGCAAACCAAAAAGCAGCAGTGGTTAAACCTGCCATGCAGCGGCTCAGACTATTACCTGGTTGAAACACATGATATATTGGGGTGTACTGCTAGAAAAGACAGAGGCAAAGACGGGTTCCTGCGAGAGAAGAGGAGTTAGAAGAGAGAGAGAGAAAGAGAGAGAGAGGGGCCGGCTAAAGCTGTTGTCAAATTAGTAATGGAGATACATAATGGAGTGTTGTGCATTTCATGGCATGAGTTTGGGACTTACCCAGCACTCAGCGCTGACACTCTCCACATGAGCATTTTGTGTCTCCTCCTACAGGGGGCAGTATGGGACAAACAGGGGTTCAGATCATAAAAATAACAGGAAACACATTCAAATATTTAAAAAAAAAGTGTACATAAAATAAAAATGAACATAATAGGAAAAGAAGACTCAGACAATACACACATTTTTGTACACACATGTTCTGTCACTGTGGCACAGCTGAGGTCAATCAATAGAAATAAAAAAGGGAAACAAATAATCTGTCTGTTTACATTCCTTATGTTGTTTGCACACAGTCGAAGCCATCTCAGTACATAAACACTAGCTGGTATGTCTGATCTGAAATCAAGACACTTAGCACCTAACAAACCCACAGCACTGTTGCTAAGAGACGCGGCATATCTGGTTTCACTGGAACGACAAATGTAAATCTACTTCTGGATTTAAGGATGGCAGCCCAAGTGAACCCAACAACCTCTCTATCAGGCAACCACACTCCTCCTCATGATCATTTACAGCAAAATGCGGTTTCCAGAATACTTTTAAGGCATGTCGCAGACGAGGTGTAGCAGTACAAGCAGAAAGAGTTAACTCAGATAATGCTCAGACATTGAGAACCCCTTCTAATATGGACATAATAAAGGCGATACAAACATTTAAGCAAGACTTCCATGACCAAATGGATGGCGTAATGACGCCAATTACAAACAATCAGGCATCGAAGAATGCAGTGGTCGCATCACCGAGGCAAAGCGACGGCACTTCTAAGCTGAAGACTGTTGTTTTCTTACCTTAGACCTGCTGGTGTCTGTCATCTCCTGCATTTTCACGCTGTCGTCTCCCTGTGTCACCTGAACACGCCCCATCGCTCTGGTTTCTTCATTCATATTCCCATCACTCTCCTTCTCAAGTTGATGCCTTTGGGACACATGACAAATACTTTAAACCACTGAATTCATCACAAAACTAGAAAATAAACCGTATTAAGTTCATTTTACATCCTGAAAAAGCTAAGAGAGCCCCCAGACATATTACCACAACGCACAAACTCAGTTGTGGATACTTACTGAACCCTGCCATTTGTAGTGGAGTTTTGTCCCACAATAGAAACGTCCTGCGCCACGCTCTGGCAGGGCCTCTCCTCGTCCTGAGGCCCGTCCTGCTCTGACAGCACTCTGATCGGTGTGCAGGCGATGGTCTCCCTCCTGTTTCGAGCCCTCTGCCTCCACGGAGCAGCGGTCTCTACGCCTGAAGCCCCTCTTCTCTCTCTCCGTGGTGGTACAGGAATCTCCTGCAGCTCTTGGCGCTCCATCCTCGCTCGTGTTCCTGCCTCTTCAACGCCTCCCCCGTTTTGTTCATGTGTGAGCGGCGCATCTATTCGACCAGCCTCTGTCCTGCAGGTCTTCTTCAGGATTCCTCTCAGGCCTGGCTCCGATGCGTAGCGCGGCAGACCTTCCCGCGTGGGGCTACTAAGGTCCGAGTGCACAGGACCAGGGTCCAGTCTCGGCTGGGAGAGGCGGAGCTCACTGGGTTTTAGGTTGACAGACGAGGCCTGCTGTCTGTCGTGCAGATGAGGAGTCAAACTGAAGACAGGAAGCTGAACAGGGCCTTTCTGGAGCTGAACGGGGGGGGACAAGGTTTTAAAAACAAATGGTATTTAACGATATCACAAAGAAAGAGTGCTGTTATATAGGCTGCAGTCTGTTAATCACAGCCGTATAGATATTCATCAAAAGCTGTTTCGGCTCATCTCCTCACCAGGTTGACCTCCTCCACTGTGATGGGCTGTGTGCGGTACCGAGCCCCCTTCTGCCTTCGTCTCTCGGAGGGCCCATCGTCAGGGGTCGCCGCCTGCCTCCCCGGCAGGGACAGCTTGTTGAAGAGGGCCAGCTTCTCACTCATGCTCAGTTTGCAGCTCTCATCGACGTCCTCCACGGACTCAGCCTGAACGCACTCGGACTCCACTGGTGGGACTGGTTTAGGGGCACTGCTGGGAAGCATAGTGGCATGATGTTTCAACAAGTTTATGATTACAGGAAAATGCTGGCGATATTCAGTTTTTTAATTTTCTTTTATTACCAAGACTAACCTCGTATTCAAGTTGAGTTAATATAGTTTAATGTTATTTTTTTTATTACCATGATGAACATATTGTGCTCAGGATGTGACCAAATGGCAATTAAATATGCTGCTTAATGAGTATTCCTTGCACCGATTGTATAATCTCCCTCACGATGTTTCTCTAGGCTGCCCCACCTGATTGCCACAATTTCCTCACAGGTGATAGGCTGAGTCAGAAAGCGATGGTCGTTGCCACGGCGCACCCTGCGCTCATGACCCACACTGCCTGTGCGGGGCTTCAGAAAGGCCGAGGCCTCGGGGGCAGCAGACTTCTCCAGCTCCTATAAAAGAGGAGACGAACAAAACATGTCAATATCAGACACGTGACGACTGACGGTGGTCTTTTTCATTCAGGTGAGACCCCACAGTCCAGGTCAAACAGCAGCCTCAGCCAACAGCCTAAATTAGTAATAAAAGGAGAGCACAAAAATGGCAGTGAAAAGTCCCTCTCCTGTTCTATTTGTATGGACAGATGGAGGGAGGGGAGGCGGGTCGTATGGCGGGTGAATAAAGCAGATAGAAATGGCAGCTCAACAGGTCACAGTGAAACCAGAGCTCCGCCGGCTTCAGTTACCTCTGCCTGCCTCCACGCAGCAGCAGGCTTATTATAACACTACCGCTATGGGTGCTAATGATTAAACAGTGGCTGCCACATTTTCACCTGATGCTGCACACTACGCATGAGGTGAAAATGAAGGAATGTTACAGCTGAAGAGAGAATCTACAACATGCCTTTGTCTTGTGTAGAGACAAAACGACTGATTTAGACGTGTATTAACGGCACTATAAATGTAGTCCTTCTTTTAATACGTGCAGACACACTGCAGCATGGATCCAGGGGCAGCACCTGTTTGACCATTCACATCCCTCAACAAGATCAGGTTTGTGTTCTGCGGGCTCAGCACTGGCTCAACATAAGACTCGAGACTGAAAGGTGAGCGGCTGAGGTGAACGAGCTCTTTCTCCTCCGCTGCTCAATACTGTTTTACAAACTACACTTTGCTCAGTCCATAATGTCAACTATTTTAAATGGTATAGAAACATACCACTGTGGTGAAATGTATCTAAATACAGTAACAAGAACTGTACTGAAGAACTATTTTTGGGGCTTTTTGAGCCTTTATTTTAGAGACAGGACAGTGAATAGAGTCAGAAATCGGAGAAAGAGAGAGAGAGAGAGAGAGAGAGAGAGAGAGAAAGTTGGGAATGACATGCAGGGAAGGAGCCACAGGTCGAATTTGAACCTGAGCTGCCAAATGGAGGACTGTAGCCTCCGTACATGGGGCGCGCCCACTAACCACTAGACTACTGGCACAATCTTTATGTTTGTATTTCACTGCATCTTAGAGGCTAACTCTACATTTGTCTGACAGATTTTGTCACATCATTATGAGTCCCTGTCAAGTGAAAACTATGTCTCTCAAAATGAAGCTTTTATTTCACTACAAAACAGGTATTTATGGTTTATTTACAAGTATTCAGCCCCTGCTATTATTCATCTCTTGTATAATTTCCATGTAGCTGTGCTTTTTTTTTCCCTGTACAAGCCTTGCCAAGTCCTTGTCTTTGTTCCAAAAACTAATAATTGCTCCCAATGGGATTAACAAAGTTGTTTGATTGGGTATGATCAACCGACGATAGCTAAAACTCTAAATGTAAGCATGTCCACGCTTGGGCAACTAAATCAGGAAGTAGAAGACACTTTCCCCTCCCCTATTAGTCATCTCTGGACAGCAGTTAGGATGATTTGTGGAACTAGTGGAGTTTTGTAAACTGTACCCTGCAAAAGATTAAAAAATAAGACTCCTTAATGGAGGACACAAAGAAGGTAAAGAGGAAAAAACTGAGATAAACAAGAGAGAAACTCATTGAGAGGAGACACAGCCTGGTTCCATACTGACTATTACAAAGCCTGCCTATTAATACTACAGGGGGGTTTACTCTGCCTTTATTAGAGCTTGATATCAGGTTTGCATGTAGTCCGTCCCGTGTGATTGGTGGTTACCAGGCTCTCAGAAAAACAGAAAGCAACCTTTGTTGTCTTAGCAACCACAGGGCCAACGACTTGAAAACATGAGAGTGGAGGGAAGTGATAAGGTCGTCCGTTTCAACTATAAGGGTCATGTTAGGGTCTGAGAATAATCTACTTTTTAAGTGAAACTAAATGCTATGTTGGAAAATAAATCAAATTAAAGCTGCAAGCATAGATGTTCTTCTGAACTCATGGATAGGTGAATATTTGGAGATGATTGGCTGCTACATGACAGGACAGCACCTGACCCAAGAAGGTTACTGGTCGTGGAGTAACTAATGGGAGTAATTCTGGTTCGACGAGTTAACCTCACATCTGACACCCGGATAACAGATTATTTGTCGTGAGTAAACATAAAGTACCAAGCTGTCACTTTCACTTTCACACGCGGGGAACATCAATAGACTTATTTCTATGGTTTGAACACAGGGTAACTTTTTGCAGGAGACAGTGGGACAAACAGAACACAAAATGAAAAGCAGCAGGTCGTAAACAGCAACAAGGATCCTGTTTCATAGCTCGGACCAACATAGACTCACTTTAAACAAAGACATCTTGGCTGCTACGCTCATTTTGGCTCGGTCATCTGTTTTCACGTCAGCTGTAAGAAAAGAAATAAATCAGCATGTCAGCAGGATTTACAAATAACCGTGTTCACAGTTTGTTCTAACTGTACTTCTCAATAATAATAATAAAAAGGAAACACTCTGTTTTAACGCCACTATATTTACTGACAGCTGAAGTGAACATGTCATTTCATATTAAAAGGTAGTATCTAACAGGACACATGACAGTCTTATTAAAACACAACTACACAAGACCGTGTTTTGGATCCCTTAATGAAGTTTTAGATTGATACCGGGTTTTAGTTATTTTGTCTTGAACTTCTCCAATTGAGTCATTTTTCCAATGTTACAAATATACAATGTTGAAAATAAAAGTCTAAACATTTCTCAAAGTTGGATTCTCCCTCCCTTATTAATCACCTAAGCTCTCAGATTGATCTCTCCACCTTGTGGGTGCGGGTGCCTTGGTGGATTTTTGGAATCACTCGACTAAACACCAATCCACATTGAAAGTAGTCTAAACTAGCTCTATGCATGATGAGCTAGTTTAACTACGCTTCTTAAAAAGCAGCAGCAGAACTGAAAATAGAACAACATGTCCTATAGTCATATTTTGAAAGTAAGACTTGTGTGTGTTGTAAGGTAAATGTAGAGGTAGTCTTGGTACTTTTAGTGGAACACTAATTTAAAAGTAGCCATGTTTGTTGCAGCTTTTAAAAAATGGGCCCCTCCTCCTTGACTCATCATACCTACCTCCTTGTACCTACATTACAAGCTATCTAAGAATATTACGTTTGTTGTAATGGAAATGGGGATGATTTAGCAAGCGAGCACAAGCTAACCGCCGGTGTTTGGCACCTGCCTGTCCAACAGAAAGCATTAAAGCTGGTGGTAAAACAGCTGCTTCCCTACTGATTACAATCCAACACATGATCCCTGAGCCACCCTTTACAACCATTATCTATGTGAATTGATATTTGAATTTTGTTCAGAGAAAGCAGGCTGTAGCGCATACAGTAAAGGCACAAAGTATTCACCATGACAAGAGACCTTTTTGTGAGGCTGTGAGCTATCTCCCAGATGGCATACATAGGGACCAACATTGGTATCTCTGATCTGAAGAAGCTACAATAACATCCTGTTCAAACTAAACATCTAAAATGGGATGCGTTATAAAACATCCCACGCTTTGGAAGTCTGCTCACCCAAAAACTGTATTCAGTGTGTCCCATTTTGGGTATTAATGTTCTCTCTGTTGTTGATATCTTACAAAAGGTTATCAGGTTGTGTTTGTCATTTACCTTCACGGTTCTCCTCTTCCTCTGCGTCCACCAGCCTGAAGGAGAGAGCAGAAGCAAAGTGTGAGCTCAATCTGTCAAACACAAACAGGGAGGTGATGTCAACCTAAACTCCCGGCTCCCGCACGCTGTCTTTTGATCCTTCTCTCAGCTCACAGTACATGTCTTTGTGCTTCAAGCTATCAAGATACTGTGTCCTATTTGCATGCTGGGTGAAGCAGCACCGTAGAGATCATGAAGGAGGGTAAACAAATGCAAAACCACAGCAGTCATTAAGGTAAGAATGAGGTATGACTTAGTCTTTTATGAGGCAAAAGCAAATATCTAACATAAACAATCGGCTATTTAAAAGCCTCCTCTTCAGAAACAAGCAGTTGAAACAAAAAAAAAAAAACACTTCTGTTAAAATATGTCAGCAAAAAACTACAAACAGCAGCTCGCCAAGGAAAAGAAAAAAAGTGTCTCATGTGCAGACACCACAGCACACAGCGTTTACCCTCCGCTCTCCTCCATCTCAATGGCGGTGATCGGCTGCGTCCTGAAACGCTCGCTGGTCTTGCGGCCGCTGCTTGACCCACCAGGGAGGTAGCGCCGGGTGCGTCTCCGGCCCCCCTCGGACGCCAAATCCAGAGAGGACGTGGTATGCCCAACATCAGGGCAACTAGTGTTCACATATACAGAGCGAAAGGTAGAAAGAGAATAGGTTTTGAGGTGAGGGGAGGATACTATCAGAGAGGTACACAGCTGGGTCACACACATGCAGGTGATCATACACTTTGTCAGGCTGTGCTTCGCTCCCCGTCTGCTGCAGGAGGGTGCTCCTTAACTGGCCCACCGACACACGAGTGTGGAGCTGCGGGGCATCAGGTCCAAGAGGAACAAGGCAACCCTCCCCACTCAGCATGCTGGCAGAGTCCCGGGAACCCTGCCTGGAGGGGGTGGGGGTGAGGGGAAGGGAGGCGATGATGCAGGAGGTCGGGGGGGGGACGAGGGGGTGTGGCACCCACTCGGAAAAACAGTTTTCAAAAACTTGAACCTTTCCGTCAAGAGCTGCTGAATAAAAGTGGAGCTCTGATTGCGAAAGGTGCAAAGATATTTGCATTTATTTATTTATTTTTTTTCTGTAAAGGTGTTGCAGATCAGCTCTAAGAAAAAGTCTCAGACCACATGAGGGGAAAACGTCAGGCCTCTGATTTAGAATTATGAACTTACTGAACTTGCCATGAAACCGATGGAAATTAATACTGATGCCACAAAATGACCTATAAAAGCCAACAAGATCATCAGTGGGGAACCTTTGTGCTGACCTGAAGTGCCTATCTTTGCATCTTCCATTGAAAGATTCAAGCTGATTGATTGATTTGACTGTTAAAAGTAGACATGAGTATATTTTTAGAAAACATTACCTATGCATGTACAAGACAGGATCAGAAAAGCATAAGATGTTGCTCTCTGTGCACAAAGTTTGCAACATTTAACAAAAGGTTCCTCACAGTAGCTTTAAGTCTGATTTAGTTAAAAAGGCTGCAGAGCAACTTGGTGACTCGAGGACCCCGAGCTGCAGAGAGGCCCAGACCTCCTTAAAAAACTACAGGTATGGCCTGTACGGATACTAGATGGGTTGGATTTGTTTCCAGGGGTTCAGGTCCAGCCTGTGGCTGCCTTTAAGTTGCTCCCCACTGTCCCTGATTTCCGGCTCTATCCACACACTGTCTCTCTAGTGAAGCCATATTAACCAATTGAATGATTGAAACACAAATTTGATGTAGCCTAGCATAGTAAAGAAGGCACTCATCTTTGTCAGTAAAGTGAGACGAGTTCACACAGCATTGTGGGATATAATTGAAGCCCTAAGTGAAGCCTGTGATACTTGCATAACTCTCCTGATTCAGGTGAACAACACTGCAGACATGACTCACCTTCTTAAGTGGTTAGACTCTGCGCTGTCCACTTCCAGTCCATTTGTCACTCCTCGTTTCCTGCCGTTGACTCTTTCACCGAGGCCGTCTGAGTTCAGTGTCCCTCTGTGGGCTCGTGTAGACGGGTCAGGGACCTCCTTCCCATCTCTCCTAACCCACTTGGAAGGAAGCTCCTCCAGGTTCCCAAAGCGTTCAGCCAGTTCTCGCCTCCTCTCGGCTTTGTAGCGAGCAATCCGCTCCGATCTGGGCTCCAGTGCCGGAATCTCTGTTGCGTCCATCTTCCTCAGAAAGACTCAATCGATTCTCCTTGAATAAATGTAAAACATTCAGGAACACAAGGCAGGTATGTTGTTCTTCATCCACTTTTCGCTAAGGAAAAACACTCGGGCCAAACACTCTTCAGGTAAACTTCAGATCCATAGGAGCTGAAGATTTTGCTGGCAGTCCACTTCTCAGTGGTTGCAGAATAGTTGGTTCCTTGGTAGGTGAGACAACATCCCCCTGAAAAAGAAAGCACCCAACAGGTATGATACACAGAATATTAACTTACTCCTCAAAAAGGTGCATCATGCATTCGAGTCTCCTCTCTCCTCCGGCTTGAGTCAATGTAAGATGACCCTCACCAGCCTTCAGTGCCATGCAGGAATCTCCCCTTGCACTGAAACTCAACACCTCAGCAGCCAGAATCCTCTCTGGGTCCAGGCTTTGGTGGCACTGAGTCTGCAGACCTGCTGCTCTTTTCTACTGTCACGGTTTCCTTTTTCAAATTGTATCTAACAAACTACATATCTTGCATGACTGTCAAGAAAAAGCATGTTGTCAGTCAGATTAGCGGCAAAAATCAAATTAGGTATGCTTCCAATTTCTTTAAATAAACACACCAAGACCTGACCAAAATAGTCCCCGTTTGCTACAAGGTTGCCTGGATGTAATAAACAACACAAACAAAGCCTGAAGCGGCTGTAAATTGCATTTAAATATAGAACTGATATGACAGGATTTGCATTTAAAGACAGCAAGTAGCCATCAGCTAGGCTCAAAAATGAGTGACTGCGTGAGCTGACAAATAGGTACAAACATAGAAGTCTGTTTGCATGTGTGTCTGTCCTCTTTCCAAAAACTGTGGCTGTCAGCATTCCTGCTGCAGGAAGCACAATGGAGGCAGAACAAAGAGACATGAGCCGTGGACTTAGTGCTGAGGAGAGATCTGCAGCCGGGCCGAAAGCTGCTGGTGGCAACACAGGTCACAAAGTAAAAGATGCCACTTTAAAGTTTGTGTCTGCTGCTTCTCTTGAAGGTGCTGGAAACGCATATGGAGCAAATTCAATTGAAACATCACAGCTGCCAGTCTGCTACACTGGAATGCAGAAATATTGACACTTGGAGTTTAGATCCGAAATGATAACAGAGAATCTTAATAAGTGTAAATGTCAGACTCAGTGATCCCTGACATGAGACAACAGGCTCAACAAGCCTGTTTTTTTGTGTTTGCACATCAGAACATGTGTGCAGGTGCTTTGAACAGAAACATTCAGCCACCCAGAGCAGAAATCCCCTCCCTGTCCTAACCTAGAAAGAGAGCAAACGGCAAACATCCTCAGTCCCGCTGACGCCACGCTCTTCTGCTTTTTTGCTGGTGGAACACGAGGAAGAGCAGATATTGGCCACACTTGCTTAAAGAGAAAAAAAACCATGTGACAAGCTGGAGGATTTGTTGTTCGGAGGTGAGAATGCCATCCAGGCTCATTGGAGATCATGAGCTTCTAATCCAGCAACAAGTGGTTAACACTAGCTCAGAAACACAGCCGATGGATGAGCACACAGGAGCCTTTCTTTACCCACACAGGAAGTGGAATCAAAATGTCCAAGAGGGTTTAACAGATCAAGTGCTGATCTGAGGATATAAACTCAAGTCCTCCACAAATGTTTACAAATTAAATTGAATTAAAAATTACAAATTCTTTCTATACCCAGTGCTGTGCTATAAAACTGTATTTGGACATTTTTTACCCTCTGATTGTTAGTTTTTCTGAGACCTAAACCTCTAACTAACTACTCCTCTGCTGGCTGGCCAGCCTGCACTAAAGGCCTCTAATAAGCTCCAATATTCCAGATCAAACTCTCAAGAGTTCGTTCCTTCAAACTTGAACCGAATAGATAAACACAAATGACAATTATACCAGTATGTTCCCCGGAATATGCACGTTAAAGTATACATTATTATTATCATTATTATTATTGTAAGCAGCCCTGCATTGTCCAGGAGTGAAATAAGGATGAGTGTAACAGGCACCAGCAGCTGCAGTTGTGGAACCCCTCATGCATTACTTGATCTCTAAACATTTCAACAGATAAAGAGGGAAATGTGGGAACAAACACTTAGTAACAATTCCTTTTCTAATTCAAACACACTGACATACACATACAGAGAGACCAATGAAAAGTTTGGGCTTCAAAAATATTGATAATGGATCAATCCATGCAGGAGTATCTACAGAAATTCACACTGAACTCAAATAAAGTTATCAACCAAATAAAAGCCGTGTTACTCAAAATAATCTGAGTAACACGGTGAATAAACGTATAAACATTATAAACATTAAAAGTTCCTGCAGCTTTACGCATGCGTAATTCATGCGTAAACTGTGCGTAAAACCTGTTTTGCCGCTTTGGACATTTTTCTTTACAATATAACATTAAACTCTGTCGGCTACTGTAACTAAACACCATGACCTCCATGTTCAATGTGAAGTCCGAGCTTCAGCTGGTCAGCAGAAGAGTGCCCGTAATAAGTGACTGGTGATCAAATATTTACAATTTAGCGCCAGTCGACGCTCGGATGGATTATTTAACTGTACATTTAAGACAAAGGGTGTAGAATAAAGTTGATTGTGTACTTACATGCAGTGTACGCCGCGTGAAGTGGACATGAAAGTCCCCGCAGTCCTACCCCCCCCCACCCCCAGACCGGCGGTCCCTCCCCACGCGGACTGTCGCTCCAAATGTAGTCACACTGGCAGCTGAGGACGAAGGCTCCGAATTAAGCGGGGAGTATAAATAGATGGACAATCCGTGGAGAGCCCCTTCCTCAGTCCAGGAAGCAGCAGAACCGACGCTGTTCTACCCGAGCTGCAGTCTCAAGAGCTAAAACTTCATCATAGTAACTCCAAGTTCCGTCTCATGTCATCGAAATGTGTACCAATCAAATATCAACAAACACCTAAAAGTGTGGCCCGAAGGCTTAAAGCTTCTTGAAAATTCATATTCTATCTAATAGTATGCTCAGCCAGAACATGCTGTCTACGCAGGTTTTGATCAATTTGCCATCAAATAATTAACAGAAGGAAAAAAAAAAACCTGGCGATGTTTTCAATTCCAGCTCTGATTTGTTTTTGGGTCCCTGAGCCTTTCAATAGAGCTGAACTGCTTCTGTACTGAATGTAATTCATAGATGAATAAAACTCAAAAGTTAAATGTGAGTATCAAATATTTCATCGCAGAACCCCGTAGAATCAAGATTTACTTTAAACTCTAAATTTAAATAAATAAATAAAAATACATTGAAAAGTTACCTGTTGCCTTTCCACAGACTTGCATGTCTGCCGGTGAAGCTCCTTCATTCTTTCATCTCCTGAGTTAACTTAAACATGACTCACATCTAGAGACAAGAAAAACCTCACTGACAACAAACATTTGAGGTGAGGGCATGAGAGGGGGAAAGATGAGCTGGATGAGCTAATAGGAAGTTAAAGAGGGCAGATTCTGGCGGAGGGTGGGCAGCACTGCCCCCTACTGTTCACACTTTGCACCTGCAGAGAAAACCTTGTGGTATTCTGGTTATACATCCAGTAACTGTGTCTGCTTATTTTGGCTTTTAAAGTAACTTTTCATACAAGCACAAATCCAGAAGATCTAATCGAGCTGAACGAGCTGCTGTCTGAAGAAGTTAAAATGCAGAGACCAGTTTTAGGGACAGTATTTATAGAAAAGTTTTTTTTTTGGAAAGAACAGTGCAACTCTTGTAAAAAATCTGTAAATACAAACATAAATACAGGTGTAATCTACACAATTGATTACACCATAAACATCTTCACATAAAAAAAAACCTTGTCCTCCAGTGGATACAAAAAGCTGTGGTTAAACAACGTAAACAAACCTATCAACTCAAAGGTGCCCTTCATAGTGTTGTTAGCAGTTTAAGCAAAAACAAAATCTGTAGTTTGTGAAGTAACATGCAACAACACCAAAGCAGCAATGTTTCAGGAGAAATTCACACGGTCAAAAAAAAAAAATCGAAACAAAAAATACATTTTTAAACTCTTCTTTCAGTTCAAAAAGTGAGTGAGAAATCCTTTATACATGTCTCTTCTTTTTATTTTTACCAAATGGGACTATATCAGCATACTTTTCATTCTACTGTGGTTAGTCAAAGTGTTTAGTTTTTTTTTATAAGTCAGGCATAATGCACTTTTATTAACTGATTGTTTCAACAGCTGTCCCCTCAAACCTGACCACAGTGTGTCATGAGGCTGCTGATCTGATGTTAAAAGCTGTTATATTAACAGCCCTCATTCTCTGTTTAGATGGATGTCATAGCTTCAGGCTGGTAAGCTTCAAGTAGAGCAGACAGAGGAAGTGAAAAAAAAGCTTTTCTTCTTCCAACTCAGCTTCAGTTTAAATCCTCAGTGCTTCATGAAGAAAGATGGGCCAGGGCTTTGGCAGCTGAGATGCGATGGCTTGGTCTGAATGCCAAACATTGCTGCAGGTAAGATGAGTCACACTTTACCAAAACAGCTGTCACATGTGAGCATACATACAGATCAACTATTTCAATAAAAATAACACTAGTTGCAAATTTTAAAAAAAGGATTTAAAGTGCTAAAAGACAAGTTTCTTCAGTTGTGAAATGTGAAGGGTGTGTCTTAAAAAAGGTTTAAGATGAAAAGAAAACACAGGCGTGCTTACAGCTAGTAGGTTGTTCTCGCATGGTCCCAGGTTGTGCAGCAGCATAGTGTTGGAGCCTTTTGGTCCGTAGCTGATGGAGTATGAGACTGGACTGTCCTTGGGCCAGTCCTCCTCGCTGGGCAAACCGATCACCCTGACAAACAAACAGCAACACAATGACCTGACCAACAGAAGAAAAAAAAGCTGCCAGAACGAGTGTGACAAAATTCAACACTTGGGGGGTAATATTTATTTAACTTTTTGAGCCAGTGACTCTCAGCTTATGTTAAACTGCAGTATTTGTATCTTGCTATTCTGACATGGTGGAAACTTGTAGGGAAACTTCTGCATTCAGCAGTGGCGCATTAATAATCCCCGTCTGAGCTTGTTTGGAGCAAACAGGCAGGTTCTCATAACTCCTATCTGTATCACAGAAGGAACAAAATAAAAAACACTCACTCAAAGATCTTTTGCAGCTGCTGCACCTCTGTGTAGCCCTTAAACAGCGGTCTGTGGGAGAACAGACGTCTGAGTGTAACTTTATCTTTATTTTGACAACTCGAGAGTTTGTTTAGTCACACTCTCTAGAGCCACATATCTCTTCCAGCCAGACACAGACTCAGCGCCTTTACCTCAAGAGGAAAAGCTCAGCAAAGATGCAGCCGGCGCTCCACATGTCCACAGAGGACATGTAAACAGAGTTGAGCAGCACCTCAGGAGCTCTGTACCACAGCGTCACCACCTGAACACAGACAAGCAACAAAAGACTAAATGTTTCAGCTCAGAGAGAAGAGGAGAAAGAAGGCAGTGTTAAATATAGAAGAAAAAAAACAAGCTCCAAATGGTTTAGGACCGAAATGCTGCAATAAAAATGAACATTTTCAGTACTCATTTGCACCCCCCACCCCCCCCTCAGGGATAAATATAGCTGTATTTATCACATGACAGTATGTGTTGCCTCACTTACACCTGGAGTCAGAGCGATATTAAAAGTGTAGATTCGTGCCAGTCCGAAGTCTGCAATCTTGACTTCCCCGCAGCTGCTGACCAGGATGTTTTCTGGTTTCAGGTCACGGTGTAGCACCATGTTTGTGTGGAGGTAGTCTAATCCTTGCAACAGCTGCTGCATCACATCCTGCACAGACACAGCAAGAGAATAACAGCAATTATTTCTCTGTCTCTAAAGCAAACCAGGGCCTCAGCAGTCACATCTGTTTGTGGACTAAATGTGTTACATTTCGTCAGTAAAACAAAAATGTGCCTTAAATTCACCTTTTCTTTATTGGAATATATATTAACTTATGCAGTCAGGGGATTTTCATCAGCATATAAGTCAAGAGATACGACATGAAAACACAGATTGACATTTGAGTTAAATTTTCGATACTTGTGATGATAGGTCTGTGAATGATCCTTTGCAAAGCATTTTATTTTGAAAGAGAAACAGGTTGCCAATATATTGGAATGAGTCCATGATCTGATTAAGAGATCTGTGAAGTCTCATGTTAATATATTTTACCCACGCAGAGCTAAAATAGGACAAGTCAGGGGATGGGATCACACCTTGATGCATTCACGACTAAGTCCAGAAGCAGGAGCGTTTGACAGGTAGGTGGACAGGTCCTGGTCGATGTATTCCAACACCAGAGTGAGGTTCAGGCTCCTGCCATCTGGGACAGTGGACGCCTCCAGCAGCCTGGAGATTTAAATCGTAAATAACAAAAAAAAAGAAAAATTGTGTTAAAAAAAAAAAGAACATTTCAGGTGTTTATTTTTTTTCTTGTATCTCCTCGACTTTTGAATTATCCATATGCACATAGATTTTTGCAACTCACCAAAAAGCAACTTGAAATACAAACATATTTAAATCATTAATATTAACCTTCAACATTTAAGGTATTTAAAAAAAAAGAAGAATAGAATAGAATAGATGTTTATTGCCATTTGCACAGGTACAGGACAGTACAGGTAAACTGGAATTCTTGTGCGTTTTTTCCCTGAGTCAGCTTCTACAAAAAAGTTTAAATTATATATAAAATAGACTAGCATTGTAAGAAAAAAAAAAGTACAAAAAAGTAAAAATAAATAAGTTGTATTAACAGCTAAGTAAATTAAAATAAACAGTACAGAAGTTATACACTGTATGATACAAAAAAATAACAAGGGGAACACTGTACAATTAAATGAAAATATAAATATGTTTTCTTATTGCACTTATTATCTCTTATTGCACCTGAAGTTATTGCACACATATTTTTCACATTATATAATTGCACTGTTAAATAAAGTTGAACAATAAAGAAGGAATAACTGTTGGTAGTTTTTTGGAAAAACCCTTGTAACCTGGAAATCGCGACAAAAACTCACCTGACAATGTTGGGGTGGTTGAAGTAATTCATTTTGCGCATCAGCGCCACCTCTCGGATCATGAAAGCAGGGATCCCGCTCTCTGTTGTGTCTCCACGGATGTTGAACTTCTTGACCGCCAGGAGGCGCTGTTTCCCCCCCACCTCTCTGGCTTTATACACTGTACCGTAGGAGCCCTCTCCCACCTCTGCCAGGAGCTCGTAGCACAAAGGTTTAGTGCACACGTCCATGACCTTACGATGCAATTCAACAAAAATTAAAATTTAACTTTTCACTTCAACCACTTTTAAGTGTTTTTAAATACGTCACCTCCGACTTTGACCACACGTTTCAATCACTTAGTCTGTGGTTTTAATAAAGTAATTAAGCTAGCTAACAAGGTTCTGATTAAGTTTCAAATGTAGATGTTAAAAGGAAGGTAATAACACCTGCTCGAGATTCCAGCTTTAATGTTTTATTCAACAAATGCTTCGTTTTTGTATTGTTCGAACAGTTTCTGATGTTTGTACTTTACCTCAGACTGCAGGGCACATTGTCACCTCCATACCTCGGACTGCAGGAAAATGTCGCTGCATTAATGAAGCTCGTAATAAAAAAAAGTAAAAAAAACTCACACCCCTTTTATTCGCCAACTAATCAGAAAGCTCAAAATGTTCACATCGTTTAGCCCACTTCTTGTACACGTGCTCCCCTGCAGCCACCAATGTCACTGTAAACTCGTGCTGCGTTCAGGTGCATCATATTCACTCAGGTGCAGCCAACATAAACTATCAAATTAGACAAACAAACATTAAAAGTGGCGTTTGGGAAAAGACAGTGGGTTGTTTAGACTTTTACAAGATCAAAGGGAGGGACGCATTTCATTTGAACAAAATCATAGCAAAACGTAGAACTTCAAAGCTTGTTTATGAATATAATCTTTACCGTCAAATTGTCTGTTTTATTATAATCCCACAGGATATTTAAGGAATAAACAATATAAATGATTATTGCACTTTACTGACAACACGCTCGGCTAGCTTCAGTTTAAGAGACACTAGTAACAATAAACAAACTGCAACCAGTTCAATGTTTGTACAGTTTATACCCTTTCATCTTAAAAAGGCAGCAACCTTTGTAAACTCGTTACAAACTGCAAAACAAAAACCGTAGGCACTGAGAATACAATAAAACACAACAAGCTGCACATAAATGTCAACATAAGCAATGGTTCACAAAAGCATTGCATCCACAACTGAGGTAATATTAGCTTCGATTATTGCAGATGTAGGCCTACTGTTAAAGCTCAACAGCTTCTTACTCCGACACGTAAACATTCCACGTCTTACATTACTAATCATTCATCAAAACATCAGATTTCAAACATGTGTTATTGTAGGTATGCATATTTGTGTTATTGTAGGTATGCATATTTAAAGTCATACATAGTGTGTTGAGTTGATGTGGAAAACATCTTTCCACTTTATTTGAGCAAAGATTATTTATTTCTAGTGAACTCTAGGAGTCTGTGCACACGGTTCTAGTTATAGCTTTGGTGTTAGCTTGATTACGGATTATTTTACAGTGTATAATGATCAGTCTGCTCGATGTTGTCATGTAGTTACTCGTCTTTCAATTTGGCCTTCATGAATTTCATTGTCTTTGCCAAGCCGATGGCATCCAGGTGGAGGTTGCGGTTGAGAATGGCCGAGCCGCAGGTGAGAGCTCCGGCAAGAGCTCCGGCAAATCCGCACAAAAACACGTCCTGACCTGCGACACAAACACACCGCTCAAAGACTGTACTCCATCCTGTCGAGAATTTAAAAGGTGATGCGTGAGTGACAGACGGACTTACCCGTCAGATAGAGGTTCTTCAGGGGAGTCTGAGGTCTCAATGTGGCGCTGAGTTCAGGGCTGAAGCGGCCGATGCCGTGATCTGCTCCGTAGATTTCACCTTTGGGAGCTCCGATGTAGTAAGTGTTGGTGATGGGAGTTCCGGCGTCGATGTACTCAATCTACACAGAACCATAAAAACAGAAGTGACAGTGAGGCCAGACAAAGTTGAGGCGGTCTCGGTTTGATTCCTAGTCTCCGTCTTTACTTCTATCCCAAACAAGCTGAAAAACAAACTGTTCTAGTAACAGTGGAAATGATGACTCAGAGGTCAGATTGTTGTGAGCCACATTGTTTTGAAGTTGAGTGTATGAGCCAAAAGTGACAGGAAATACAGAGAAGAGACCTGAGTAAGACGAATGATAAACAGAAACGCATCTAAAAGATTACCTTGTCTCTTGTTATCTTAGGGAAGATATCCAGAACCACGTTCAGAGCCGTGTCGATGAACGTCTGTTTCAGCTCTTTGTACTCCTCCGCTCTGTTTGTCACTTTTGCGTCCTTCCACTCTTCAAACCAGGAATAGTTGGCGAAACTGACCAGACTCAGAGTGGACTTTCCTAAAATGAAGGTAGAAATGTGATAATGTTTCAAGTAAATACAGATATGCATATGTGCATAAACCTCCTTTGTATGTTAATAAGTTTGTGTACCTGGTGACCTCTCCTCCCAGGTTGAATCTTTGGCTGAAGGCGAGGCCACAAACAGGAGAGGGATACTTTTAGCAGATTCTTCCCTTTCTCCATTTAAGTATTTCTCCACCCTGTACAAGTAATCAGGTAAATTAGTTGAATCAACCTCATGCATTTCTAAATTAAAGTATATTTTTTGACGCCAGACAACGTACATTTCATCAAAGTTGTTCTCGGTGAAGATCCAGTAGTTGTCTGCTTTCAGGCCAAGCTCCTCCTTGGTTCCGTTCAGACCCACAAAAACACTCAGGCCACCTTCCCCGTTCTTCATCATACTCAGCTGCTTCTGGATGGCTGCATAACAAGAGGGACACTTACTTTACCAACAGATCACAGAATAAAAACAACACAAAGACACAAAGAAAAAAAAAAAAAGTACGCTTTTAGAGAATCATTGATGAACACACTTGAACACTTCCTCTGGAGACAAGATGATTTGTTAAACTTTTCATTATAACAAACTGTTCTTATCGTTTTACTTTTCTCTTTGAGGTTCATGAATACCTGGGAGGTGTTTTTGCTATGTTTTTAAAATTGTGACACAGAAATTAGAGAAAGTTATTGCTGAAAAAAATAAATCTCCAAGCAATGAGTCCCCTGCTTTGTTCTAGGATGTTGTCTACTCTTATTTGAATGTATTTTATTTCTAATTTCTTAATATTAAACACTATTCTTCATTCCAAATCTTTGAGCCTTACTTTTATCAAAGCTATTTCATGTTTTAACTATGTTGTGATTATTTTACGAGGTTTATCTTGGGGATCTTCATTGTTAATTGAAAAACTCATCAGTTGAGGACAACCGTTCATCAGAGTCTCAGATATGATCCTTTGTTGCATCTCTCACTTTTATGGGACTGTAAAGTTACATGAAAGTTTTCACCTGGACATTTTTCCCTTTATTTATAACTGATTTATTACAAAATCTATATGGATGACAAATGAAAAATATAAAGCTTACCTGGCATGGTCTGCAGCTCTTTGGGCAGCAGTTTCTGGTAGGTGTTGAAGATGCCAGCATTGGAGATGACCATGGGGGCGTGGATAGGAAACTCCTCGTCACCCTTCATGACGCTCACACCTGATATCATAAAAAAATAAATAAAAAAACAGACACACAGTGAGTCTCTTCTTCTCTGTGGGAGCTGCTTTCTGTGCTCAGAAAAACAGAGAAATCCCACTCACCACAAGCTTCATTAGCCTCATTGAACAGGATGCGGTTGACGGGGGCTCGAACAAGAACAGCACCACCGGCCTTCTCAATGATGGGGATCATGTGATAGGCAATCTCACTGGCTCCGCCCTTAGGGTACCAGGCACCATTTAGTAGTGAGTGGTGAGCAGGCTGTGCATTGCAAAACTGGAATCTTTAGGCATGTTACCTGCAGTTTAGAGGGAGAAACCAAGACTTTGAGAAAAGCGCTACAGAAATGCATAGATCGAACAGCTGCTTGGCGTACCATAGGTGCCAAAGATGTAGGCGAAAACAGCCCTGAGGTCCTTGTTCTCAGTCAGTCCGTTGACAACTTCTGTCAGGCTGCGGGGGGCCATTTCGAAGAAGCGGACATACGTCTGACCAGGCCAGTGTAGACCAGGAACTTGGCCAAGGGAGCGGGACAGAGCTTCAGGAGAGCGAGAACCCAAATGCCCCGTCCGACTTTCTGAAGAAGAAACACACACAGAGAAGAACAAATTATGGCTGTGATACACTGACAAAAGAGAAAACTACTGTGTACACATGCAGGAAAAATGCATAAAGGGGAAGGACAAAAAATGTACTAACTGCATGGAAAAGGGAAAAAGGCCATTTTTATTTAAAGACGGCAACACTGTGTGTGTTACACTGACAAACATACCTGATGGTTAAACCAATCACAACTCATTCTTCTGTTTGAAATGAAACATACATTTAAAAAAAAATAAAGGAAAGGGTATGTAAAAATGTTTGGAAAGAATGTGTTTTTCCTCCAAACAAAACAATAGTGTAAGTAGGAGTCATCCCATGTAATACATAAAAGATAGAAAAGATAGTTTTGTTACAGCAACCATATCAGATGATCTCGGACCTCCTCAATCTCACCAGCTCAGCCTTGACTCCAAGTGGACATCTGTGCTAAATGTCAGAGTTCTCTTTTTCTGAGATATAACCGGCTCCTCAAAGATAAAGAAAGTGGCATTCGGAGCCAAATCCCTCTGTTGCAACTCAGTCTGGAATATATTACGTAATATCTCAGATGGAAAGTTGCCATGCCAACTTTTTTAACCTTTGAATCGCCAACCCTTGAGCTCTTGAACAATATCAGTGACAACACCAACAGAAATCAGGAAAATGCTGCGTCTTTGTGCTAAAGTGCAGTTTAGAAACACACTGTTCACTTGGAGAAAAGGCTATTTGGTAATTGTGTTCAATTAAATAACTACCGGGACTCCATTATCACAGATTGAATATTTTACTTTTAACACTGAATGCTAATATTTTGAATTAAAGCTGCACAAAGTCATTGGTAACATTTTATCTAAACCTTCTGATCCATTCACTGTAATGCAGAAACATCCCACCTTGACCAGCCTCAGGTACTCATCGATGGCTTTCTCCTCTCCAGGGAAGCACTTTTTCAGCTCGTCGGGGAAGCGGGTCCTGCCGCTGTAGATGGGGTAGCGGCGGCGGTTTTCTGGTGGTCCCAGCACTACCTGGTCAAAAGGATTCTCCAGAGGCTCCCACTGCAGCTGTCCGTTAGTCATGCTGTCCAGCATGCAGCGGAATGGCTTGTGGTCCTGGAGGTCCCCGATGTAGTGGATTCCTGAGGGAGGAAATTAGAAAATGCAAAAACAGCAGTTTTAACATTATCCAATGCCCGAAAAATACTGGTTTGCACAACTTTTTTTCTGCCTACACTCTGGATTATAAAAAAATGACAATTTAAATGAAGCCTTCAGAGCATTTTCTTTCCAAGTCTTTGAAAAAGAAACCAAAAAACAATCAAGAGCTTTCATTCTCACCAACATCAAACTCAAAGCCCTTCTCAGTGAACGTGTGACAGCAGCCTCCAGCCCGATCATGCTGCTCCAGGACCAGGACCTTCTTGCCAACTTTAGCCAGCAAGACTGCAAGCCCAAGACCGCCGATACCACTGCCGATGATAACAGCGTCTAAGTCTTTAGGTACTTTATTGATCAGGAAACCTACAGAGAAGAGGCAGCAAAACATTAACATATCAACATGTCTCTGGTACAAATGACCCTGCAAAAATAAAGTGAGAAATATTACGTACAACTACCTGGTTTAAGGTTTGCATTTAAAAAAAAATATATATATATATACTGCTTTTCCCTGATTTATCTCTTTTTAAACTAAGTATCTGTTGTTTTGGAAGTCTACTGGACAGACAGAAATAAGAGGGCATAAGTGTAGTCTCTTGTTTTTTAACTAATAAAAAAAAAAGCTGGAATAGATTTCCCCAGGGTTACCCTCAATAACAAGAGAAAATGTAGTCTGTTGCTTCATGATTCAAACGAAACACGACCATGACTCAAGACAATTGTGATCTTAGTTTGGGACACTATCTCAGATAGGTCTGCAGATCACTCTCATGACATCTTAATTAATTCAACAATCCATTTATTTAGCCTAAGAAATAAAGTGTATTGTTATTCTTTCAATTAAATTAACTTGTATGAAAATATGGCCATTATATATACATACTAAAATTTACAACATTAACACATTTTCATAGCAAGATAAGATTATATTTTTAAGTTCCTCTTCTAAAAATTGTTTTTACAGATGTCACGTTTATAAAAGTATTTACTGTAAATTGATACTCGACCGCTTATAGTCCTGTGGGTTTGACAGGACTGTTCACTTTCTATTAAATTAGAATAATGTAATGTAAGAATAAAGTGACACTTGGTCACTTGCTCTAGGTTTAAACAGAGGAATTAAAAAACGATTTTTTTTTTTCCTGCAGAAGACAAAAATAAATTATAGTAATGTTGTTAATAGATAAAAAATATATATATTAAACAATTTATTTCATGACCTTGTTAAATTAACTCACCTTGCTTCAAAACTTTTTTTTTTTCTTTCTGGTCGTGAACCATCTTTCTCACCGGTTCACGGGTATCCGTCTCAAAGGGATTAGGCCCGGAGCTCCAGAAGACATACTTTAATATATATATGACCAAGACGACACAAATGGTCCCCAGACCAAGCAACATTGTGGCAGGATATCGGGCAGGTGGGCTGCAGGCTTGTCGACCACTCCGTCCACTGCCTTCACTTCCGCGTGAAACTCGCCAAATACCGCCTACATTATCAACGCTTGATAAGTTTAACCAATCAGGGCCTTCTACAGCATTCGTCAGTCAGATTGGACCAATCAACATCAAGTTCACTGAGGGAGCGACGCCCCCAAGCAAGTACCGTTAGGCTGAAAATAAATTACGTAAGCGTGACAAAAGGTCCGCTTGACATCAGTTTTCCTCTTGAAAAATATAAGTGAACTTTAAATAAAGATGTGCTAGTCATGCAATATATACATAAAATGATTTTCTTATGACCTTCACAATCATCTGATAAATTCTTTAAACCTACCTCTTTGAAATAAATGTCTATTAAGTCGGATTTGTATAGTAAATATATGTTTATTCCTTAATGTGAGTCATTGACTCATTCTATTGCATTTTCTGTTTTGATAGCTGTTATTATCTAATCACTGCACAGACACTTCCTGGAAAGTGCTGCACAGATTGGATAACTTCATCAGCAGTAGTTTCTCTAGGCCTACTCTACCTGCTCATCGAGTACCTTTAAACTGGTTTCTTGGAATTTGACAGACAATCCCTTATGTAATCTATTATTAGAAACACCTCGACTGTAAAACCTACAGTTCAGTTTAGTACTACTATGTTACTTGCCAAACATTTAAAAACAGTTTTGCTGCAGGCGGCATGAAAACTGTTGATAGTGTTTTTAGCTCAATGTCCACTTAATAGCTTTTTCCATTGATTTCTGAAGAAAAGGGACTATCTATGGAAGAAGTCCACCACAACAAAAGAAAATAAGTAGTCTTTGATGCCACATTTCTATGCCAATGCTTTACTGGAACATAGCAAAATGCAATGTCGACTGGACAAAATGTTTTCTGCATACTCAGTGCAAACCTGAAGTTGAAATTCCTTCTTGAACAGAAAACATGCAAAAACCTCACAGCAACTTCTAGATTTTATTTCTTTGCTCAAAAGAAAACAAAAGAATTACCTGCATGTTGAAAGTCTTTCTGCACTAGAACACAATGGAACCCATTATTCTTTTTACATGTGTATGCAAATAGAACCATCATTTTACATAAGTTGCACTTTAAGGGATTTCTCCATTCGTTATCATCCTCATCGTCATCATCGTCATCATCCCCCGCTCTGCCAAAACGTGCTGAGAATCCAGACTGCTGCTCTTGGTCAGTTTCAAAATCCATCCTAAATCCTGACTGATGTTGCCTACATGATCCGTGCAGAGGGGAAAATGTCTCATCGAGGTGGAAAGCAAGCTGCATTGCAAGTTTTTTTTTTTTCCCCATATTGATTTATACTTTTGTGTCTGATGTCACATCCTAAGTAAAGCTTATAAAAACATACAATCAGAGATGTTAATTCGAGTGAGACTAAAGCTAACGATGATCCCGTCTTCAAATAGCAAAGAACATCGGATGTGATATGTGCATGTAAACAAGTCACCAGAACTTCCAGCTCTTCTTTCTGGGGTAGTTTTCAGAACTGTTTTCATGATGTTTCTAAGACTTCCTGTGTGATTCCTTCATGAACATCTGCATAAAGTACTTTTAAGGTATCCAAAGTCCTTGCATATTTTACGAGTCCCTCAGGATGGACATTGAAACTGCAGCACAGTCAAATCAAAAGGTGTCATTACATATCTGATCCCTGCTGATAAAAGTGTGGAGTAAACTCCGACAGAAAGCCTTCAACCGCAGCGTGACAGTCCAACCTCGTCCACAAAAAAAAAAAAAAAAGATTCTAATTTTTTTTTTGTTTCTCCTAAGCTGATGAGTCATCAGTGAGTGTTTCAGGGCTTCTTCAGTTAGTGCAGTAAGCTGTGGAGGAGCATCATGACAGTTAATACACATAAGAACTCCAGAAAAAAAACAAATGCAGTTCTAGCATGGGTGTCTTTGAAAAAGCAGTGGTGAAAAAAACGTCAAAATGTTGGAAAACTAAGGTTTGATGAGAAAAATCAAAGAAGACACAGGGTCAAACATGACAAGAGAATTCTTTACAGAAGCCCTTATCTTGTATCCACTTTTGGTATTTATTACCTCAACTTCTTAAGCCTATTCTTTTAAAATATTTTTTTTTATCTTTTTGTTGTTGTTTTTCATCTCTAAAACTGAAGGATGACAGTGTTATTTTAATTGCAAAAACCACTTCCAACATTTAGCAATAAAATGAAACCATAGATTTTAGTCTGTGTGTGTTAGGGCAGTTATGTTTGATATTATTTACATGTTTCTTTTTTATTTTTTTTAATCTTTTGTAGGTACGCCAACCGTGAGTGTTTGGTTTACAGTAATCTGTGCAAACTGTTCTGTGTGTGTGTGTGTGTGTGTGTGTGTGTTTGGTACAGTCCAGACAACTCTCAGATGAAATAAAGTTGTTTAGGGATGATAACTACAATGGCTTAAGGTCCCTGTGATCAAAAGGAGGAGGAAGAGCAGGAAGACTCTCCCGGCCTCCCACCTGGCAGCGGTAGTGCAGGTCAAAGTTCAGAAGGTCAAAAAGTAAAAATGGGCGGTGGGTTTTTTTTTTTTTCCACTCCTGTAGCAGGAAGTCATCAGTCCATCTCGTCACGTGGTCAGTGTGATGGGTGTCGTCTCCTGGCCTGATGGTGACACTTATTTACGGCATAAAGGGATGTCACTGAAGAACCAACCCAACCTGGAACAAAACAAAAACATGAGGATATTAGGAAACAGTTTAAAAAAAACATCGTTCCTGCAGAGTTTACTTAATACCAATTTAATCATCAATAAGATTTCACCTCTTCAAAGTAAAAAGATAAACATGATGAAGAACCAGTCAGGAGGAAAAGGCCTTCCATTATTTGTTATTATAATCAATGTTTCCTTATTTTGACCAGCAGTATGCATCAATAATTACTCCTCTTATAATTCATTTAAAATGGATGGAAAGTTTAACTAGTTAAAAAATGATTAATTCATACAACTTTTGGCTCAATGTGACGCTTTCTCATTATGATATAATGAGTGTTCTAGCTGCTGCAGCTAGCATTAGTTTTGCTACAGGGCTGATGGCGCTCCAGAAAGAGGATTGAAGAGCTTCCCGAGTTCTGTCCCAATTTTCCTCAATTTGTCTAACTTGCCGACTGTGACTCAGCATTTCATAACCAACATTGGCACAAGAATAGGAAATTTACTGACTAACGTACGCAAATGAAACCTTACACTCTCTACTTTTTGATGCCCTCTATTTGAACTTGGAAGTCCAAAATACAAGATGGCTGCCTTGCACATCGACAATAACCAGTAAATGTGGATGAACAAACATCCTGACTCCTTCTGAAGAAGTTTCACTCTTGATTGATTTAAATAAATAAGTGAGCCTTGTGTAAGGAGGCTGAACATGAGAGTGCAGAATAATATCTGCAGCAATCAGCTCCATGAAACGATTTAAGCAACGCCATTAGAGGGTTTATACTTAACAAGAGACATCACACCACGTCAAGGAGAGACGTCACAGCCGACAGAGCACACAAAACACCACCCACAACACAAAATTGAACGGTGAAGAGTGAATTCAGGTCGTCCACAAATATATCGATTTTAGATACAAGCCCTAAGAAAATGAAAAAATGGTCGGCAAATATACCTGGGGACCCTCCCAGGTATACGTGTGTTGGAAACACTTACATGAATCATTAAAGTCTTGTGGGATTTAGAAGGTCGGTAATCCAAATTCAGGATAAATCCGTAAGATTCACATTCCTAAATAATGGTGGCTAAAGGAATATACTGTTGAGTGTGTGACTCATTACAATCAGTCCCACACACAGCACTGTCCCACTTCGACCTGTAGACATGATGCTATGGTGTTTAAAGGTCAATGGAAATCAGCGTATACTCACTGCTGCCCTGAAGATACTCTGAGGTCATGATATCATCACTATAATAATCCCATGAAACGTACCTTTTCTGAGCCCATGCTGGGACACTTCCAATTGTACAGATAATACTGTAGATTTCCGTCACCGATGCCGAACTTAAGCTTCTCCAAGAAAGTCTTGTTTTCCATTAGATCCAGTGCATTGAAGACATCGAACCCTTTCTGGAGAAAGTGATGAGAACAAGAAAGGACAACAGATGAGTTCCCTGGAAACTACACGTACGATGGAAAATGCACATCAATAAAAAAAAAAAAAAGGAAAACAAACCGATTTGGCCAGAATGAGGGCGTCAGACATGAGGTCGAGCATTGGGGTGGTGGTGTGGACGTTGTAGAAGGAGTATGCTGCTTTTAGACTGCGGTGCACAGGGTGGTTCATGATGGTAGAGGGCAGAGTGTAGAAACTCAGGAAATCAGTCACTTTGCCATCGTTCTGTCAAGAGAATACACAATTGGTTTTCAGACAGATGTATTATAAGAAAAATGAATGTCTAATAATAATAATAATGTGTTGAAGATTTTCTTACCTCCACCAGGTAAGTGTCGATAATGTTCTCCTGGGGAAGCAGCCAGTGTTCTACTTCTTCCTGGTTCATGGCGGGCGCCAGATGGAACTGGCTCAGGTACTCGCGGAGAAGGCGATGCACCACCGGCACGTCCTTCTTAGTCATTGGCCGTAGACCTTGAGTCTTAGGAGCCTGAGAGAGAACAACTTAAGCTTTTGCAAGGTCGTTTTGTTTTTCAAATGTGTGTCTGTCAAATGTAAGCGTTTTTTTTTTTTTGCTCACCTCAGGCAGACGATACAACTTCATGGTGCGCTGCATTGTCATGTTCCTGCTCAGGTGGGAGAACTTCACCTCAATTAGCTTGCGAGGGTTCAAAGAGCGATGCCAGTACCTGCGCAAAGAGAACACAAACAGTCAAATAAAATAAAAAAGTAAATGAGGCAGGGAGAAGTGTGTGTGTGTGCACATTAATTGGCAGCTGTTTCGTCAGACCCACCTGCATGTGCCCACAGGTTTGGGCAGGACCACTCCAGCAGTGTAAACAGCCTGAAAAATACCCTGCAGGTTGACCCGTCTGGTGATTTCTCTGATCAGAACCGGAGCGACTCGTTTGGAGCGAAGCTTCTTGTGGACGCAGAGGAAATTGATCTCAACCATTTTCTTTTCTCTAAAAGATCAAAAAGAGGAGTTGTCATGTGAGTAACTCTTAAGAAACATGTTTAAACAATGGATATACTAATCCATAGAATGTTACACTTTTACTACGCATCTTTCACAGGACGTTATCCCGTTTTTTAACTTACTAAATAAGCTGACTTATAATTACATATCATGCAGGAGGCGTTTCCTGCTCAATAATACAGACTGAATACACTGAGCAGCCACTTCTATCATCTATTAAATGTATTGCAATTGAATGGAATGGCCTTGACATAACTTCTTCTTTAATAAGGTTTATATCATTCACTTTTTTTTTCCTCTATCTAAATATTATGAATGATTTGTCTGGTTAAAATGAGCTTGTGCACTGGACTACATTTTATTGATAAATGTTTCTCATTTCTATAAATACAGAGAGACCAACAGAGCAAACATTTGTGAATAAAACACAGTTCAGAATAGCACATCATAGGCTTCATTAAGTTGGACTTTATGGCAGAGCAGTGCAATAGGCGTTTATAATGTAACGGCCACTGACTGCATGTTATGTAGACGAGAGATATATGGAGTTAAATAATATTATTACTTGTCCAGATGTGTTCACTTACATGTCGTAGATAGAGATATTGGCAGGTATGGCACTGATGAAGCCAACCAGCTTCTGGTTGGAGTTAACCCTCACCCCACAATGCCACTGGGGCAACCAGCCAGGGGGCCGCAGGGCCCTAAGACAGAGATCAGTCACTAAATGCAACAGACAAACCTCCTATATTCATATTTCATGGTTTATTTAAGTGTAGTTGTTCTCCTGACATGCCACTTAACATCTAGCACACAATATTAACCTCATGGTCAGAAGCTCAAAAGTGACTCACCAGAGCAGGAACTCAGGGGAATAGTCAAATCTGAACATGTTGTCGTCATCTTCAACATAATTCTCATTGAGAAGGGTGTACAGCTCCTTGAGCTGGTTGTATAGAAAAGACAGAAATAGACTTTACAAACACAAGAGAGTACTGTAGAATTTTTTTTTTTGCCTATTTAACCGTTCTGCATCAATTTAAAGGAGTTATTCTACTTTTTAAACATTTCTGACAGTTCAAAAGTACATCATTCACTAATCGTACAAGCTCACTAAACATTCAAATTCAACACATTCAGGCTTTAAATTGTTTATGAAAAAAAAAAAACTGATTCTATCTTATCCGTTAATTATTAATTAGATTGCCAAAATCTGACAAACACATTGATAAGTTCTGCTGTGATGGAAGTTGAAAAGTTCAGCTCTTCTCTGAATAAGTATTGCTCTTGATTTTTATAACGTTTCATCATCAACCACATATCTGAAGAGAGATGACAGCGATGGATGAATGACTTCACTGACTGAGAGGCATAGAAATAATCAATCAACAAGCTTTTTAATAATACAAAGCAAAAAAGCACTGAGAGTCCATGAAACTGGTCAATATGGTTTTTGTCATGTGCATTCTTGTTATGAGTTTCTGTGTTCTTCTCTCTTACCACCGCGGCGTCCCCCAAGTCGAGGGTGTCCCAGCTGAATCCCTGTGGGAGGCTGTAGGGCTCTTCACGGATGACGTCTTTGTCAGGTTCAATGGAGCCATGTGATGTAACCGTCTCCCCTGAAGAAACACAAAGCAGTTTCTGACTCACAGCACAAAACAATCAATATACGATACTCTTTCTTGTGGGTGTAAACGTTTAGAGAAAAATGTGGTACCTAGTTTGGGCACAGGCTGTGTGTCCCAGAACTGGTAACTCCTCCGAGTGGCCTCCTCCATGGTTTTGGCAGGACCCTGGCCTACAGAGAACAGTTCAATGGCCTTTTGGATCTCCTGGAGCTTATCAGCTGGCAATGAATTCACCTGTTTGGAAAGTAAATATGAATTCATTATAGACATGCATCTACTCTTTTCAAAATGAATACATTATTTTATATGCAGAGCAGTTATAATGTGAGCTGTATGGGATGAAACCTGAACTTAAGTCATGTGACTCTTCAAACTAAAACACACTTTTATTCAAAAATGAATGAATTCACACCTTGGCAAGGGGGTCCTGAGCTGCTTCTGGGGCACCTGCTTTCTTCTTCTTTTTCTGCTTCTTTTTCTTCTTCTTGGCACCAGTGTCGTCGCCCAGACCCCTGTCACTGAAACAGGACAGAAATAGAAGGCGCCCGTATTTTAGTCTACTATCCCCGAGGAAACTTTCGCCAGTCACAGTCGAAAAGTAATCATATGAATCTCTTCCTGTGACATGCCTGCAGCACGATGTATAAACCATCGTAGATATTAATGACATGAAATGAAACTTTATGTAACAATCATCTAGCAAAACAACAGATTATTATTCTGTCTGTGGCAGAAGTGTTTCAGCTCCATATACACATACAAGTGTCCTAAAGTTAAAGTTAGAGTCCCTGCTTTATTTTGCATGAAAACTTTTTTTTCCATCTTTCAGGAGCCAAACAAAGTCTAAATTAGTTGATCTAAACGTATTTCTAGTAGACACACATACAGAGTTTTTTTGTGTACAAAAATTGAACTGTTTTAGCAAGGACAAGGCTCAACACAAAGCCACAAGAAACTAACAGGACACGCGTTAAGGCAGAACACTGTCGACATATTAAAATATGTCAGTCTTCATCTCCTGTATCAGATGATTGTCCCGTTTTGGAAGACGCAAAAGGAGACATAGGACATAAGAAAGAACCATATTACACAGATAGTCCTGCTGCCCCCTTTCCTCATAAACCCCCTATTGTCGATCATTTAACACTAAGACGCTAGACACACACACACCCCCACAAAGCTATCCCATTTTCTAGCCTGACAGAGACCGCATACTTACAGAGGATAATCTCATTAGTGCCCCAGAGAGGAGAGAGGCAAAGCACTGGCCTGTATTTGTAACACCAGCACAGATGGTGAATTACATGATCTCTGGAAGTGGTTTCTACACGTGTGTACGTATGTATGTACAAGAGGTCAGTGAGCGACCGGGACAATAGAAAACAAAGCATTCAATAGTTTGTTCCACCGGCTTCCATTTCAACAGAGTAAAAGCAGCTAACAGCCAGAACCTCTCTTTGTTTATGCATGTGGTTTTTTGTGTGTGTGCTGGGTGCAGGGACGTTACACGTGTTGCTCGAAACGAGACGCAAAACTCACATTTGCAGTAATTTCAACAAATAATAAGAATAAAAAAAAAGGGGTAGTCACTTTCCAATGGGAGGTAAACAAAATCATGCTTATTCATCTGTCAGATTTGTGTTTTTTTGTTATTTTAATGTGCTCAAAGCTCACACCTTTTTAAACAATTAAGTTAAAACAAGGGGTGTGTATGTGTGTGTGTGTGTGTGTGTGTGTGTGTGTGTGTGTGTGGGGGTGTGGTGGGGGGGAATGGTTTAGGCCACATAGTTGAAAGCTTGAATTTGCACACATTAGCCATAATTGGTGGAGAGGGTTCAGTATGAGTGCTTTTTTAAGAGGTCACAGGCCGTCGAAAATGTTGGGATGGAAACCAAATGACTAAGCAAAACTACTCTCTATGTTTGCACCTAAATGCATCACACCCAGTTGTCTTAAGCAGGACACGCCTTGGTAATTAACAAGCATGGTGCCCCTTTTTATGTGTGTCACCGCTTGGTAAACATTAACAGAATCCAATGCAAGGCAAATCTTCAAATTCAGAGCTCGGTTGTTCCGAGGATCCTGCATAATGTACTTGATAAAAAATACAATAAAAAAAGGGGGGGGGGTGATTAGAAGCTCAGTCATGTACTAACAGCAAGCTGCATGTTTTAAGGCATGGAGGTCTTGCTAGTTTCACTTTGGCTTTAGCTACTATCTGCACCGAAAATCCACTTACAGACAATAGAGGTTTGACAGCTATGTTAGCATGCAAGCTAACTCGCTATACAGCAGCTGTGGTTGCCATGAAATGAATCAGACACATGTGATGGGCATCGACGTGTGACAAATATATATATACATATACACACACCCTATAATGAATAAACGTTTTACAAGAGAGTTCAAATGTTGAGACTTAGTAAATGTAGCAGCTCAAATCTCACTTGGGGTTTTCTACCCCCATACTACGCCTTGCTATGAGAACTGAAGGAGAGCAGGGCTAAGCCCCGCCCACACAAGGAACGGAGCGCACTCTCGGCCAATCATACGAGAACACTGACAAGAAAATGCCCCTTTCGACCAATGAGGTAACCCCAAGTGGGCGGGACAACTTCCTTCAATGGCTGTCTAACCCCGACTGGACTGCTCGCCGATTCTGTAACTTGAATTAGCTTTGACTGTGTATACAGCAGCGTGACACGTTTAACACCACCCCGATGCAAGGCACGGCTTCTTACCCATCTTCAAAGTGGTGCTCTTCGTTTTCACAGTCGCTGCAGTGTCCGTGGTCCTCTACATCTTCTTTCTCCGGCATCGGTGCTGTCTCATTCTCATCCGCCATCTTCAACCAGGAAGTGAGGAGCCACCGCGTGTCATCCACGGCTTTAAACTTGCCTCGATACTATTGGTTCAGAGCAGTCGTGGAAATGTCTTCGCTGTTGTCTTCCAGTCGCTGCTGCACAGAAGTCAATGTATTCAGCATAATGTAAAGAAGGGGATGGTGATGGGAGGCATTGCCTTCAAGCCTTTGAATTAATTTTGACCCAGAAAATAACACTGGTTAATAACACCTTGACATAATTGCGACACTGTGCTCTTCATTAAGTTATAGCAGTACTTTGAATAGGATGCACATAGAGAGGTGGATATGCGTGATAAAATAAAAAAATGTACATAAAATTTGCACATATCAAATTATTTTTGGCCAACACTGAAAGATAAGAAAATGCAAGCCGATTTATTAAAAACTGAACAGCAATGTTGTGTATTTAAAGAGTGACAAAACTATCAAAATTTAACTGAATAACGTTTATAACTACATTAATACTTAAACAGAGTTGGTAAGATCAGCCTACAGAATTGGAATCAACCTAGGACTCAACAATGTGTTCATGTCAATGGTCTTTTGCCGATTTATATTATTAGGCTTCTTAAAAGCCTACTTACAGCCTATTTTATAATATGAACTTAATGCAGTCCCTTACCTGAAAGTATTTTATTACCTTCAGCACACATTCACACACCTTGCAGATCAGTGAGAGCTTTAATGCAAGAAAGCTGAAAGTGTATGGTAACTGAAGAATAGTATAGTGGTATGTGTTCGATTTTTACCTTAACAATTTAGATGATATAAATATTATTACTAATATACACATGGGTTTTTCATGGCCTTGGCCCCAGACTGTTCACTGGAACTACTGCAGTTTATGGATTTGAAAGAAGTATAAAATACACACACACACACACACACACACACTATGGTGCATCTATCTGTCTTTGTCACATCCACAACAACACAAACAAAAGGACTTACACAGTGATGTGTTGTTAATGCTTTTATGAAAACAGTGTTTTCTCTTGTACATAAAATACTGACCACCAATCACACAACATTTCTGTTAACCTTTAAGACTCAACACATGTAACATGCTACTGAAACCTATTCTGATAGTATATTAAAACTGTAATTACAGTAATTCATGTGCATCTCCTTTCATTAATGCATCAATTTAAAGTCAGGGAACCTCCTTATACGAGTGATATATGGATATTAAATTCTACATGGATAGGTAGCAGCATTAGTGCACTAAGTGTTAAACCACTATTTTCTCTGTCAGAATTAAAGGTTTAGAAATTGGCAACAAAATAGTTGTATCAGGTTGTCAACAAAAAGAGGCTACAAGCAAACATCTAAAATGTCAAACACAATTTTACTGAACACATTTTCTAATGTGTGACATGATTGAACAATTTATCATTAGTAAACGTTTATCAAAGTTAACACTGTTTATATTTCAAGTTTATTCTGGCAATACTGTATATTACTGTCGTCTCAAGCGGGCGGCCCGGGTTCACATCCCATCTGTGGCCTCTATCCCGCATGTCGTTCCCCACTCTCTCTCCATGATTTCCGACTCTATCCACTGTCCTATCTCTCCATTAAAGGCATAAAAAGCCCCAAAAAAAATCATCATCATGAGGAGTCAGGAGAATCAAGTAATACTAACCACCTTCATTTTGTTGAAGGACACAACTTCCTGTGATAATCATTGAACATGACATCTTTACGACACCAAAGTTAGTGCTGAAATAATAATTTCTAGCATGATATAAATCTTTTTTTAATTACAGGCAGTCATGCTTCAATTTCTACTATTAGCACTTTTGACTGTCTATTAAGTAAGTGCAGCTTCTTGTAAAAAACATTTCACATATATATCATAAATCTTATATGTTAAAGCTAACAATTGAGTGTAAAAATACTACAATACTTTTCAAAACAAAAAAGATGACATTAAACATCTCTTTTTCTGACCGATTAAGAGTTAATCTATTCATTTATACTCAAGTGTAAATAGCATTCATTGAATTTTGTAACACATTTCCATAAAAAGTGTTCTTATAAACCACTATCCTCAGTCCCCTGTCTTCAGAGCACTCAGTACTGACAGGACCAGACACTCCAACAGTGTATTCTGGATTCATTACTGGGCCTGAGGCATTTCATTTGCTAAGAGGCTGTGCGCTTCTTCTTCTCTGATAAATGACATCTTTCTGTCTGCTTTGGGAAGTGGATCAGTGTAAATTGTACCACTCAAGGTCTGGCAGCAGCAGCAGCAGCAGCTGCTTTCTCTCCCCTACAACACTTAGAGCTCCATTTTCCAAAACTCTGTCTGTGACAATGCAGCTTTCCTTCATGTTCAGATGCTGGTCATGCCTTGCCTTTGGCCATGGCCATCCGTTCAGACACACTTTTAATGGGGGCTCCTTTGCGGCTCACTTTGACATGGATGAAGAGTGTGGCAGGGGACAGACTGGAACCGTCTGCCTTCAATAAATGAACATGTCGATAACCTGAGAAGAAAGAGTCAAATACACACTTTACTAACAACACAACACAGTGATTTCTGTTTTTTCATCTGCACAATGGTCTCTATGTGCACCTGTTCGTAGGCTTGTGAGAGGCACAGTGAACTGCCCCACAAAGTCATTTTTGGCAGTGTGATCGTGATCCTCCACTACAAACCGAACCAAGGCCAGTTCAGGGACCTGCAGCTGAAAGCTCAGGGTGCAGTCCCATCTTGGGTTAAAACCTGTAGAGGGCGCACAAGAGCTGTAAATACATAGACCAGTGCCTTCCAAAGAAGCCAATCATGGCGTTTGACAGAAAATACTCCTCCCAAAAAATAAAAGAGCTTTAAAGAGCTGCACTGATAAATGCATCATGCAAGCAACATGCTATACAGCACAACATGATTTTACAATATTAATAGGTGGGCAAAGAAATATGATACTGGCTCTGTGATTTAAACGGTACATTTACTAACATAATGTTTGAGCATTATTGTTAATTTAATTTTTAAGCAGCCTCAGATTTACCGTTGTTGTCAATGCGCTGGGTTTTGTTCCTTGCATTATCAATGTCCACACCATGAATTTCCACCCACACTTGTGGGTCAACAATGGAGCTCGCCTTCTCTGTGTTGATTTTTGGCAGCTGCTGTGCGGATATTATCTGAAAAGGATATAATTAGTGAATTTTGAATTTGAATTTTTGAATTCTGTTGGGCAACTCAACAATATACATTCAGAGCTGTATAAGTTTCCATTTGTAAAGCCTATAATAAAAAATAACACCTAGACACTTGAAGCTTTGATCCCCAAACATATATTGGTAGAATTGTGAAAATAAATTAAGCTAGCTACTTACAATGTGCATACATTTCATTGACAACGATTGGAGGCAAATAAAATACAGATACATTTTACAGTATGGTCTCAATAAACAATAATGTCAAAGCTGCATAAAACAGTGACTTGTGATGAATGGATTGGAGCCATTGGATAATCACTCACTCGTATGGTCAGCTGGGTGGGGATGTGACCTGGGCCTCCTCCTGTAATCTCCGGGTTAAAGTTTGACGTTGGGCTGCACAGAAAGCCGGGTTTAAGAATGTATCCACAACGACCGTTGGGCAGGAAACGTCCCTGGTTCAGGTCCATCTGCTCCCCAGGGGTCTGGAAGTTCAGAGCCACTGCACAGCCCAGAGAGAGGAGTCAGTAAAAGGGCAGGACTTATCACACAACTTACAATAAATTCAGAATTACAGCTTCCTGTAATGCAGGAGCAATCTGCAGAAATGAGAAGCAGTATAACACTTCTCTGGCACTAACTGACCATATAATGTTTTTCAAATGATTTGCCGTAATTTGCTGCCATCAGAGCAGCATCCTCGCTTCTAGTCTGGAGTACTAACCCATCTGGCAGCCACCATTCCACATTTCCTGAGGATCATAGTTGGATGATTGCAGGCGCTGGCCGGAGGGGTAGATCCGGCTCAGCTGCCTGCTGTTGTGTCGCACAAAAAGCTTTCCTGCAAAAGAAAAGATGGAAAACCACATGTCATGATACACTGGAGGCTGATTACATTTTCTAGAAGAATCAGCTGCAGCAGAAAAATTTCCTCAAAATCTGTTTGACTTTCTCTCTATCATGTCAGGATGCAATTATGTCCAGTGCTGTACCCGAGTCTTTGATCAGCTTCAGGGCATCATTCTCAGAGAAGGAGGACATTTCATTTGGAGGTTTTTCAGTTATGTTTTCAAGTCCACAAAAGGGAACGCTCCGGCAGTACACCACCAGATCTGACAGCTCGGGGCTCAGTTTAGCACAGACCTGTGAAGGACAAACACATCAAATAATTGCTTAACTATCTAAAAAGTTCTCTTTAACAGCTTCTCAAGTCTCCCTGAGCTGACCTTTGCAGGATCCTTCTTGGGCGTGCTCTTACTGCTGCCTGCTAGTTCGTCCTCAGAGCTCGAGGAGAAGCTGGCACAGCTCCCATTCTTACCCAGCTGGCCTAGGTGAGGAGTATGCTTCTTCCCTTTCACCAGAATACGCCCCTTAAGCTCCTGCACAGAAGGTTTGGGGGACAAATTACCTCATTAGAAAAACAGACAGCCTGAGGTGTTGGAAAAAGAGATACAGCTGTGTATGTCTGTGTGTGTTGTACCTCAGGAGAAGGCAGATCCTTTTGAGGCTGGTCACTGAGGGGCTTGGTGAGCAGTTTTCTACCAAGGATGGTGCGGAGGTGTTTGGCCATGACGGCCTGCTGCTCCACAGAACAGTGGTTCTCCAAGGACAGGATTAGAGGGTATGGGGACGCCTGTAGGGAGAAACACAGTATCACTTGTATGCCAAGTAATTAAAATGCAATTACCGGTATATCACATAATAGCAATGCAGGACCTAGCATTGTAAAAACAAAATAACGCAGGCTGTGTAAGAGCCAAGTAGGTCGTGAAAGTGAGGAGTCAGGCAATCTGTATATATTTCCTGCTCACTTATTTAATTAGCAGTAAAGAGAAGCAGCAGTCATTCTGCCACAGCTGAGGATTTACACTCTAAAATGTGTTGCTCCTATTACCTTAAAGGCATACTGGTTGATAGTTTCAATAACCTCCTTGAAAGGCACTTTGGAGGTGAGAGTGTGGCCATGGTAGATGACAGGTTCGCCTTTATCTCCATCCCAGCAGTCCAGCTCTACACAACGACAGCCCTGATTCAGAGCCCTGTCAGTGACATTACACACATTTAGAATCAAACACTACAGGAAAGTGAAATGTGTACTGTTTGTTCATGTTCAGCGTCTAAAAACCTGATGTATGGCTCAGTGCTGCTGGCACTAGTAACTTGGTCCTTGGTGAGGTAAGTGTTGTGGGACGAGGAGATGAAGTAATGCGCCAAAGGGCGGCTCATGTCCTGGTAGACTCTGGCATGGTCAGGGTTAACCACATCATTCTCCCGGGACAGCATGTACATAGTGAAGCCATTCTGGGTCATTAACTGGTGCTTCTGAGCTGAAATGAATGATTATTTAAACTGAGTCACACAAGACATGGTAACGTAAATATAAATAGCAATTACTGACAGCCTCCTTCTCTCAAAGGGAATGAGTTAGCAGCTAGCTAGTTATTTTTTTAGATACTATCTACTTAGCCAAGTGTTAAAAAACATTAGCAAAAACATCTATTTTTATAAATATTTAAAAATAACGATTACAAATGTGCACTTTAATGTACAAGATGGAATTTAGGGCAGGTCATCTTACAATTATATTTAGAAACGTATCAGTCATAAGTGTAATTTAGTGTACCTTAGGAAATACTATATAACTTTGGGTGGAAACATACAAAATGAATAACAGTTAATTTAATAATATACCAAATGTAGCATTGTTTAGTCATATAAACACAAGGAGAATAGCCCCCATGTGTCTTATATGACAGCTAGCATAATGTATGCTAATGTTAGCTAACTTTGGGCAAATCACATTTCTGTACAAAGAATCATAAATGAGTCAGTTCACCAAATGTATGACTCCAATTTCGCCACTGTAACCAAATCTTTACATTTGAGTTATAGTAGGCTAAATGATAAAATGCATCTTAGCAATTAGCATCAGAGGATGTTTTACCCGCCTTTTTAGTCCTAGGCTAGGTCTTTTTTTGTGATCCAACAAGTGCGTCCATGTTGAACGTAAAACTGTTTGTGAGCTTTTTTTTGCTTTCTTGTAGACCGTCTTAAGAGGTTTCCTGTAATTGCAATACGGGAATTTATTAATTTTGTAAATCTGTTTTAGGATTACAGATTCAATTTAGCTATGTTCAAATTTTGGCATGTCTACATAGCTCTATATTGCTGTTAGGTGGCGAAATATGCATTGTCCTAAATAAATAAACAAATAAATGATGTTGAATAGTCTTGCTATGATGTCTTATAGTGCATGTTTTGTAAGATTAATTTTATTTATGATATCACATACAGTATATGACATTGTGTGTCCCTTTTTTTAATCTAAATTATAATCATCCAAATTTCCCACTTTCGTCTCTCATTGACCATGACTTGTTTGACATGAAGGTGTAAAATTTTAAAGCACCCAGACTACTTTTCCCCAACATACCATGTTCAGTTTGAGTTTGTGTGAGTGTGAAAGCCGCTTTTCAATATATCAGCTTCCTGCTAATCGTTCTCACTACTTTGGTTGCCTTAAAGAAAACACTTAAACTGCTAACAACATAAAGTGCACCATATTATTGTGAGGCATTTGATTTGCATTTGAACTCAGGGTAGCATTCACAGGTAGCGGATGAATCATTGTTTTGTCAGTCTAGATGCAGCACTAAACCCTTGTGTTTAAGTGAAAATTTAGTGGGCTCTCTCTTTAAAGCCTATAATGACTACGTTTGGGACCTACCCCAGTCATTGAGCTCATAGGTGAGGATGAGGCTCTGAGCATGATTCAGTGAGGCGTCTTCTCCTTGGTCTCCCAGGAAGTCTCGCAGCTCAGCAGTGGCGAGAACACAGCCATTGCTTGAATAGTGTCTGAACACGGAGTCGAGCTCTGGCCGCCGCAGCAGCTCTCTGCAGAACTCTTCAATCTCTATATGATCCAGACGACCATCACCTGATCGGTCACACCTCTGGGGAACAGGGGATCAGTAGGAGTTTAAAAAAACAAACAACTGCACACACACAGAGAAAGATATTCTCACATCAAACACATTGTGCTTTTATTTTGAGGGTGGTTCAAAAACCCCATGGGGAAAGAATCTCCATGATAATTTACTCAGCTGTGTAGACTTAAATGAAAAATATTGCTCTCTGAGGAGGGTCAGTATTGGAAATTGCATCAGGAAGGCGCATAAAAACCAACAATGTAGCGGTGATAGAGTGCTGAGGGACATGGCAGGCAGTAATCCCCTGCAATAAAGAAATAACTGGCTTGATTTGTTGTAAGAGGGGATAAAGATGTGGAGGGGGGGCTGCTTATTGCCTTTAGCTGCTGGTTTGGTAATTGAGCAAAGACTCCAGACTCCGGCATGTCGCAGTAAAACAAGCTCATATTAAGTAAATTTACTGACCACGAGGGTAGAATATTGTACACATGAGGCTCCTGACCTTGAATAAACAGTAGGCGTACTGCTCGCTCAGGTCAATGTTAATCATTTGGAGCAGGCGCTTGACCTCGTCGTAGCTCATCTTGCCGTCCTGGTTCTGGTCTGCTCGTTTCAGGTAGCCTCGGATCCAAGTGTGGAGGGTTAAGGAATAAATTCAGACAGAAGGGACCTATTGTTTGTCCTGGAGCACCACACTCTTTTTTTATGAGTCAAATTCTACCATTTTTTCAGTTTCAAGTTAATTGAACATTCAAAACACTTGAATAAAACACTTGTTGTTTTTGGCCAGACATCATTATGATAGAATCCAAAAATGTGAGCCTATCGTTTAGTTTGCCATTGGAATCCCCTTTAACACTTTTACTGTCACATTAAACATCTATTGTTTATACATTAGGTGCCAGTTTATAGGGTACACAGAGCTATACTAATTTGGTCTAACACAAAAGTCCTTCAATAAATTCTCCCTTTATAAAGGTTTTGTTGTTTTATTTTAAGAGCGGTGTTGATTCACTTTCATTATCGTTTTGAAGGCCTTTGTTTGTGAAGCTGTTAAACTGTAAATTACATAGATGTGTTCCTGTTATTAAGCCTCATTGCTATAAACGGGGTGGACAAAATGAAACACACACCTGTCAGTGTAAAGCAATACAATTATAAAACGACCTCAACATTGCCTTCCTGCAGGTAAGATTTATGACAGGACTGTTGAACTGGATGGAATTAGTTTTGGGTATGTAGCTAGTGATAAAACGGAGGGGTTAAGCTGATATCTGCCACATCAATTTCATGTAATGCTTCTGCAAAAAAAAAAAAAAAAGAGTCGATGGCAACAAGACACTAATTTTAGGTCTCTGTCACCTGCTCATAGTACTGGAACAGAGAAAGCCCACACATTGACATCACACTGTTTAAGAGTCACCGGGCTGCTGGAAATCGACAGTATGATACATAACAAACACAGTGACAAGATAGGATAAACATGATCCTGATGATTCAGATGCTGAAATATAAACAGTTATTGAGAGAGAAATAAACCATGAGGCAGAGACGATCACTACCTGATATCTTCACTAATGGTCTGCTATATTTAGGCAGGACTTTTTTAACAAGTCATTACAGCTCTTCTTAGCTATGCTGTGGACGTGGGATGGTACATTTGATACCACAGTCAGTACCCTTAGCAATGCTGCTTCAGCAACACTATATTTATTATTTACGCGTGTTGGAAATTGGGCAGGATATTGGTCCAGTTTTTCGTTTTGACTCATGTTGGCCACATGCTCCTTTAAAGTGCGGAGCCCTCGCACCCAGCGCTGAGCTTCCTCCTCACAGGGGCACAGCAGGTCCAGGCTCTTCCTGGCGCCTCTAAAGATCACTGTGAAGCACTGGTTCTCCGGCACCGACCCTGAGAGACGCCTCAGTGCCTCGGACTGGCAGCCTTCACGCACACATTCCACTTCTGTCACTGCGACTGGACGAGGGGCAGACGAGTTCAGAGAGAAAAAAAAGAAAAGGTTGTTGAGTTAATACAGCTTAAGCAGGAGGTCACAACAACACTTGGAGCAATGTTGAAGGTCAAACATCACGAGTTTTGCAGGATTCATAAATTCCACCGAGCAGAATCTCATAGCAACGAGATTATAAAATATATCACGCAGTCCTCAACAGGATAATTTTAACCCGCAACTTTATCACTCTTAACATCTCTCTCAGTAAATAGCAGGGCTTTTTATGGGTTTTACAACAGTTACCATCTCAACATGGCTCGTTTATTCATAGATTTATGGGGCTGATTTATAATGTATGACAAAACTGAATCAGAATTAAAAGTCTACAACCATGCTAGCTAGTCTGTGAGGTAGTGTTGTCTAAATGCTAACACCAGGATGCTAACACACTCACAAACTAACATTGCTAGCTTGTACTGTAAAGGTTAAAGGTAGGGTAGGCAGTCAAATATTTAGGGTTCAGCGTCTGGGACTTCATCAAATCGAAACGTTACGATGTATGTTGAGATATGTCACAGAAGCTGTTGGTTAAGCTTGATAAATCAGGGTGTGGTTTATCCTCTTGTTAACATGATGTATGGAACTTCTTTGCAAACCATGCAATAATGATCAGGGTAATTCGGTCTGGACCAAAGCGGCGGGCATACTTGATCTAATGCAGGATCTAAAACTTCTGCGTATCTCGCAAATGCTGAGAGGTTGTTCCCCAGAGAAGACAGCGAAAACAAAACCACACTGTCTACTAGCTGATGCACACACAGCTTGGTCTTTTTTCTTTTGTGGGATGCCTGCAGAGTGGTGATCACTCAGCTGGGTAGAAAGCAGTGCCTGCTCTGACAATAGCCTCATTCTCCTGCTGGAGATCATTAAGCCTCTGCTGTCCACCTCTTCAAAATTACTCAACATTCCTGTTCTGTAGTTATCCCAGAGACATGGCAAAAGCAACATGTATATGTGTGTGTGTGTGTGTGTGTAGTGTTAAGTGTTGCATTCTGTGCCAAGTGCTTTTGATTAGAAAACTTAGCTGCATGCACCAGATCACACTGGACCTGGAGAGGCGCCTGGAGCTCCAGAAAGAGGAACTAACCCAAGTCTGAATTCTGTATTCACACTAACACACACAGATATGCTCCTCATCCGCCTGCCAGTGTTTGCATTATCAGAATCTGCTCCACACTCACATTGTAAGGAGTGTTACAGACACTGCAACGCCACCACTCCAGGGTCTATTTCTAGTGCGGCTGCAGCACAATCGAGTCACCCTTCACCTCCCGCTGCAACAAAATGCAGCTCGCTCACCCACCCAGCCGCTCTGCAAGGCCAGCAGGGGTTAGCATTAAACTGCATTCCAACATCAGGATGGTCAGTAAAAACAGAGCAGAGGTGGGGAAGCTAAAGGTCAAGCCGCGAAGAAGAAAATCAAACTGGATGCGAGAAATGGATCTTGGTTAAGTCATATGACGTGGCTTTATCTTTAGCACTGATTCTAAGGGAAGAGTTATCCCCAAAATGTACAGAACATTTCAGGTTTATTAAAATTAGTCTGCACTTTGGCTCTACTCTTGACTGCCATCTTTTTTTTTTAAATACCTTACTGTGTCAAAAAGGAAAATATGAGGAAGCTGAAACCACAGGCTCTTCTGCCCTAACCTGTTTTTCCAACAACCCAATAAGATGTTAAATCTGTGTCTTCTTATTTTTATTAAATCTTCTTCTGTAGAAGAAGAAAATATATTTTCTGCACAGTGACATTCTCAACTTCTTCAAAGGCATCACCCAGTTTAGAGACAACATCCCACAAAAGGTTACACTTGACTTGTAGTTAAAAACAATGAGAAATACAGCATCATGAGAATTAAGTTCTCCTTTCACTTCTTTTCTGACAATTACTTTGCTTTGATAGTTTCATTCTTTCCCTTTCATATGCTAATGGAAATAAGGCGATGAAAGTTTTGATTTAGTTTATCTGTTGAAGGATCTCCAGAAATGTGTCCTCTTACAGCCACATAAATCCAGGAGGTTTGATCTGACCAAAATCGAAACATCAACTCAGTTGCCTTCAGTTTTTACTATGTGCTCACAGCATTTAATGAGTCTGTTTTATACCCTGGATTTTGCCTCTCAGGTGACTGCATGCTGCCCTACCTGCTTGTTACAAGGTTCATTGTTAACTTTTAAAACAGTAGTTTGAATTGTCAAATAATAAAACGAAAACAATATCCAAAAAGTACCAGGCACCAAGAACATTCTAGATTATTTTGTTAGTGCATTGTATTGCAGAAATGTAATGGCTATTTTTGATATAAATTACACTGATTATTAAGGCAGGTTGCAGAGCCCTTGATTAGTTTCCCCACTCACTAAGGAAACAAGCTACAGAGGAAAGTAGAGGAGAGGGCATGAGATGGAGCCAAGATAAAATAGCGGAACGACTCGGAACAATAAGCTGGCTGAATGAGCCCAATGACTCACATCCAAGAGTGTACTGGGCTGGTCGAGGGCCTGATGGGCCGTTTCTATATTATCTTCTATGTAGATAAGCTTTTTCCTACTAATCTGATATCAATTAAGTTTCCTCTCTTTTCATCAAAGCCAGTTCCTATTCATGAGCACACTCGCTTCCAGATTTTGCGATGCCCTTCCTGCCCCTCCTTACTTCTTGTAGTTAACTACCTCACTGCCTTTGCTGTTGTTCCACCTTAAATTCTCCCTCTGCCCAGTAGTGTTCTCTTTTCACGTACGGGGCTCTTATTACTGCTCTTCTTAACTCTATCGATGGCCATAAAGCCAACCCTAAGCCATACTCACAAGTCTGCTGGGCTTTGGCTTTGCGGGAGCTCTTTGTAGATTCACACCACACAGTGAGGCCGTCCTCCAACAGCCGCAGGTTTCTGCTCTTCTGCCACCTTGAGGAGCGAACCTTTACCATGTTGGAACCTTGCATCATCAACCGGATGTCCTCATTGTCCTGCATCTCTGGAGAACACACAGAAACACACAAAACAGTTTGAAGTTTGAACTATTACTGTAAAATGTGATTCACTTTGACAGCATGTGTTGGCCAATTGAGTCACACCTGCTTATGTGTCGTTCTATTTTGACACCATGCTAGCCTAATGTTACGATACTAATGAGGTGCATACTGTCTGTTTGTGACTACCTTATTGCCTTCTATCTGTTCTTATTCTACAGCACAATATACTCTGAATGTGACTCATAATAATACACTTTCATACAAGTTTCATTTTCAGCAGTGTTTATCGTTTTGCAATTTTAACACCTAATATAGCCTTTACTAAGCACTCACACTTGGTTAGCTTAGCATAGCAATGCGGGAATTTATGGATGATTTTGCTTTGAGCTAAATGCTAACATCAGGATGCTAACCATGTTGCAGCATGTTGTACAAGGTTCACAGTCTTAAATTAGAACGTGGACACAAACTAAAGCTGAGGTTAAAGGCTAACGTTAGCATGCTTTCATGCCCAGAAAGCAACAATAATCCATCAGGGAGGAAATCAAAGCGTCAATGTTTTTTTTTCTGTGTTGTTTAAAAGATGTTATTGACCTGTTCCTCATACAGCAGGTTTTGGTTATTAACTTTAGCTTTTGTCAGCTTTTATAGAAAAAGTTTATAGGACTCCAAAAACAGTTGTTGTTCATTATCTTGACAAACATGTACAGATCAGTTCCTTCAGGAGTTTTGTAGTCTGAGAGTTTTGTTCCTGTCAGACCAAATAAACATGTCAGGCACAGGGAGGCATGTTTCATTTCTCTAAACTCAACTTCATCAAACTTTTTGTTTTTCTTCAGACCTAAGCAGATAATCTACCTTTTTAAATGTACCCATTCTCATCGAGTCATTACATGAACCTGACCTATTTGACCACATTCATCAAGTTGAAGGTAATAATTAAGTCATCCCTTCTTTGCTTATACCCAAACTCAAGGCTGTGTTTTATATACAAACCTTGGAGGGAATTGACAAAAAGTGCATGCTGGTCAAAAAGAAGGTTGTGGTGTGCTGAGTGAATTATAAATGTATTAACAAAGCCATGTTTCTCTTTTTGTTATAAAAATAAAAAATGAACTCTGTACTGTTAGTTCAAGATGAAGCTGAGAGAAATCGACAGCCGAGATGTGAATCAGCCATGATATTTTGTAGATTTATTCCTCCTTTGGGGGCGAAGAGGGCCAGCAGACTGCAGGAAAGCGTTACAGTATGGAAAGTTGCAAAGCATATGCTTGGCTGTAATGGTCATACTAGTGTTCCCTAGCTGTTAACATCAATGGAAATGCAATCAAAAAAAGAAGACAAAACGCAGAGCCTGAGACGAAATATGAATTGATCAGAGCGCTGAAAGTATCAGAGAATGTAGGAGAACATAAAGGAGGAAAGCAGGAAGCCTGAGGGGTCTGCATGAAAGTTGAAGTTGAGCCATTTATGTACTGTATGATATAGCTCTTAGAAAATAATAATGAAGAATATGTGCATGATATTTTGTATTAGCAAGCTCAAGGCTGTGTCGACATGAGCTCGTTTGGTTTAATAAAGAACTAAAGCCCACATGATTACTCTCATGGTTGATGAGTCAATCTTTGGAGTATGAAAGCAGATTAAATCATTGCATCATATATAGAGCTGATTTTCTCTACATTTTACACTAGAAATATCTTAGATAATGACTGTGTGTTGGAGCATCTACCTGAAGATGTCTTCTCTGCCTTTGAATAACTGTCGCATAATCTAACTGATAAGACCAAAACTTTTAAGGTCACTTGGGAAAAGAATTGGCAAACACAGGGAGTCAACAAAAAGCCTCGAGCAATAAAGATGATTTGGGTTAGCAGGTTTGCAGTTGAAAGGACACGCAGAGAGTGTTGACACAGCAGCTTTCCGACTCTGATTCCAAAAGTTCAAGCATGACGGACCCACGGTGAGCCTGGGTGTAATTTAATACTCTGGAGTGGACGTTTTTCAGGGCTCGATTTTCAAATGATAAAAAGTGTGTTCATCCTCTGAAAATGTTTCCCCAGTTACTTAGTTTGAGGCTATATAAATATATCTCCAAATAACATGTAAGGAACTGTATCCTGTTTTGGCTTAAGTTAATGAATACATCTATTTATGTTTCTTAAACCATGTGTCACGTTGTCACAATACTGTTGGCTAAATTGTAATGGAAACACAAGTTAAGTTAAGATCCAGACTGCTGTGTATTATGACAAAATAAGTCCTATATACCGCTTATAAGAACAAGTGTTAATCAAAGACATTCTGCTCTCTCACTGCAGGGATGAACGGGACCTTTCTCTGAGCCACTTTCTGTGTCAGGACTGATTGAGGTCCAAACAAACACTCACTTTTGTCATGTGATTTTCTCCTCCGTTCACCACTGAAGGTTTGTCTGGACTCAGTTTGGCATACTGTCTTTCTCTTCCCTCTAAATCACCCTCCTCATACTGTCAGTGCCAAATGGCTAAAGTTCCTCAGAGGGCCCCCAAAGCTATAGCACAACAGAAACTGCACTACCCACCCCCGCCCCCCGATCACCCACCCCTACTCGAAACCAACTACAGCCGAGCATTTCTCCCCATCAGGGTCGAACACAAAGAAATCCCACTACCAACCCTTCATCCATAACAACCCTGTTTTTCCAAGCTGTTACCACATGCAAAGCATTCTCACAAGCAGAGCACATGGACCCGATTAACTTGCAGGTCATTGACCACGTTAAGCTGCCCAAACAGCCTTAACTATCTGTCTCAACCCGCTGCTTTCCCTTTTATTGTTGCCTCTCAGCCTTAACCACAATCTTGAATTCCTACCTGCATGGTTTTGAAATATCATCCAACCACAACAAAACAAGTTTGCACAAGTCTGCAAAATGTGGCCTTATTCTGATACACTAAGTGCCTCTGAAAGCCTATTCATGTGGCAGCAAATGCAGGGATGGGCATGATTCTTCAGGCTACAGAGCTGAATTGTGTTTTCTCCTCATCGCCTCCTGCTGAAAATCTGGTTGACATCCTCTTCATCAGACGGTCAAGGCCCTGCCGACTGGCTAGCAACCGTGCTGATGTATTCTAATGCAGCCATTCAACACGGCTCAGAAGAGAAATTAGAAGAACAGGAGAGTTTGCAGTGTTGGAAAGAAAAGACAGTTCTAAGATGGAGAGTATAAAACCATGCAAGCTGCTTGCTTTGAGCTGAACACTTCAACCAGCATGTAAACACGCTCACATAGCCTACTCCTCATTTTCTTCAGGTTTGGCATAAAAAACTAGCTGATATCCGATCAGTAGTACTGAATAAAAGTAGGCCTACCAGAAAGGGTCTCATTTATAAAAGGGTGCGTAGAATCCATCCTAAAAATGTACGTGCGCCAAAAAGCCGGAAATGGCGTGCGCACAAAATGATTCAGATAAAACAGTTCGTACGCACACCTGCACGCAATATTCCCTTTATAAATCACGATCCACCTAGATTAGTCCCATGTTCCGCCCTCTACACGCCCACAAACAACCATGAACAGTCAATGCAAAGCCGCTCGTGAATGAAAACGCATACAAACGAGGGGGCAGATCGAAGGTTTCCAGCGCTGGATTGCGGCGAAACCCGAAAGCTTAGACAAAGAAACGAGACTTTCTGACCCAGGAACGGAGGAGTTTGTGAATGAAGCGAAGGATAAAATGGACATATCGGTAGTTTACTGCAGCAGGAGGATGACAAACTGCTGAAGAAAAATCAGAGAACGACACCACGTCGCTGCTGCATTCACGCCGTCCTATGTGCCAAAACATCCACTGTTCATCATTACGCACGAGAATATCTGCAATGTTTACATGTTTACGGGACCCACACTGACTTCTTCATATTGTCAGAGTGCTCACGTCAGTCAGCAGTCTGCCTCACTCTATCATGTTGTTCATCAAAAGTTTGATCAATGAACAAAAACGTTTGATTGCTGGCCCTTTTTTTTCCCCGTGGGAAACTCCGTCTGCTCTGTGACTAATTATGAGGACATATAGACCTAATGATCCTGTCAGAGATGACCCGACTTTATGTCCACACTTGAATTATTTACAGAATAAATACGTGCAGCTGATGAAGACATGTTGAGTAACGAGAAGGTGAAATGTGTGAAGCCACCGCTCTGTGCGTCTATTTTTACAGTCTATGGTCTTGACGCAGGCATCTATATTAAAACTAAAAACCACACTTGATGATAAATGCACGACATTGAAAGATATTAATGAAAACTGGTGGCTCTATGGTTTTTTGTGTTAGTCTAATGTTTAACTCTACATCAGTGATTACATTAGTGTACAAGTCCGGTCCTCTGAGGTCCGCCCGGGTTAATGAAGGTTAGACAGCGCTGATGCAACATGTATGTGGTGGACTTTCATTTTTTATTTGATGTTTATATATTGTCATAATGAAAGTTACTTATTGGAAACGTTACTGAAATAAAATGCGGAAGAGGCATCAATATGTATCTGCAGGCTTCAGTTCACTACTTCACCGTCTGTGTCGCCAATTTCCCATGCCCTCCAAAATGAACGTACGCCTGGGTCACAGTTTGCTTACCGGTGCGCACATTTTAACGGCAGGTTTGTTTTTTATAGATCACAAACTTTGCGTGGGAAAAGGCGTAAAGCACAGTTTCAGACCCCGTTTTGTGCGTACGCAACGGTTATAAATGAGACACCTGGTCAAGTAACTAGTATTCATCCTCTGGGCACCATGAATATCTGAACCAATACTTCATTAGATTTGTATAACTCTCAATTAATAGTTAACAAATGGCTAAAAGCAACAATTACAAAAGGGATTCAGTGAATCAGAAGTGGGGAAAATCTCCAAACTTAACCTCATGTTTTCCTTGAAGGTGTTTTGAGACTCAGAGCAGCGGGTTGCCTTCCAACTGAGAGGAGGATCAGAAAGAAAATAACCATATCATCTGGTCAGTAAT